CTAGGGACCCCAATATCTGGGATTCAGCACCCTGGGGACACTGGGGACCCCAATATCTGGGATTCCCCACCCTGGGGACCCAAATATCTGGGATCCCCCATTCTAGGGACCCCAATATTGGGGATCCCCCACCCTGGGGACCCCAATATCTGGGATCCCCCATTCTAGGGACCCCAATATCTGGAATCCCCCACCCTGGGGACCCCAATATCTGCAATTCCTCACCCTGGGGACCCCAATATCTGTAATCCCCCACCCTCGCAGACCCCCCTGACTGCCCCCCCCACCAACCCCCTCCCCCTCCCCAACCTCCCCGTTCAGGACCCCCCCTCCCCTCCCCCAAACCTCACCGTTGCTGGACTTGAGGTCCCGGTGGATGAGGGGCACGGGGGTCCCGGCGTGCAGGTACCGCATCCCCCGCGCCACCTGCCGCGCCCAGTCCAGCAGGACGGCGGGGGGGACCCTGCGGCCGGCCAGGGCCCGGGAGAGCGGCCCCCCGGCCGCGAACTCCATCACCAGGCAGAGGTGCGGGGGCTCCAGGCACACGGCCCGCAGCGCCACCACGTTGGGGTGCCGCAGGCGGGCGTAGAGCCGCGCCTCCCGCCGCAGGCTGGAGACCCCCGCCGGGCCCGCGTCCCCCCGCGCCGCCTTCACCGCCACCACCTGGCCCCGCCACGTCCCGCGGAAAACGCGCCCGAAACCGCCGGTCCCGATCACCTCCTCCAGCCGCAGCTCCCCGAAAGCCGCGCGGGCCGGTTCCCAACCGCCCCCCGGTGGGGACGGGGAACGGGAACCCCCCGGGGATGGAGGGGAAGGGGAGCGGGAGCCCCCCGGGGATGGGGAAGGGGAGCGGGACCCCCGAGGGGAGGGGGGAAAAGGGGAGCGCGACCCCCGCGGGAAGAGGGGGGACACGGGGGGTGATGGGGAAAGGGGGGGCGAGGGGGAGTGGGACCCCGCCGGGGGGGATGGGGAGGGGGATGCCCGGCCCCACTCCATGGGGTGCTCCCCCCCCCAGCCCCGGCCCCGGGGGGGGACTTGGGGGTCCTGTGGGGGGCTGGGGGGTCCTGTAGCTGCTCGGGGGTTCCTGGGGGGTCTGTGGGTGCCCGGGGGGGGTCTATAGGTGCCCGAGGGACCCCATGGGGTCCCTTTATGTCCTGGGGGTCCCCTGAGCCCTACAGGTGCCGCCTGCGAGGTCTGACAGCTCTGGGGGTCCCAGGGCAGCCCCCGGAGGGGTTATGGGGCTCAGGGGGTGCCTGTGGGGTGCCCCACACCCCTGTCAGTCCCTGCGGTCCCCTATAGCTCCTATAGGTCCCGTACTGCTCCCTTCAGCTGCCGGGGGTCCCTGCGGGGACCTGAACTGTCCTGGGGGTCCCGGTGGTTCCTGGGGGTCTCTATGGATCCCTTGGGGTCCCGGTGGTTCCTGGGGGTCCCTATGGATCCCTGAGGGTCCCGATGGATCCCTGGGGGTCCCGATGGATCCCGGGGGTCTCTATGGATACCTGAGGGTCCCGATGGATCCCTGAGGGTCCCGATGGATCCCTGGGGGTCCCGATGGATCCCTGGGGGTCTCTATGGATCCCTGGGGGTTCCGGTAGTTCCCGGGGGTCCCTACAGGTCCCCGGGGTCCCTCCGGTCCCTGTCGCTCCTCAGAGTCTCGGCAGCTCCCTGGGGATCCCCACGATCCCCGTGGCTCCGATGGGTCCCTGCGGCTCCCCGGGGGTCCCCGCGCCCCCTCCCCGGCCGCCGCAACCCCCTGCGAGCCCCGGAGTCCCTCCGCCCCCCGCCCCGCTCCCCTCCCTCCCCGTCCCCGGTCCCCTCCTCCCCGTCCGGTCCCCCGGGGCCCCCCGCGCCCCGTCCCGTCCCCGCCTGGTCCCGCCGAGCCCCCGCGGCCCGCAGGGGGGAGGAAGCGGCGTCCGGCGGCGTCCCCGGGGGGGGGGCAGGGGGCGGCCCGGCCGCTCTGGGCTCCCGGGGGTCCGGCGGATCCCCGCGCTGGCTGAGGCGGCCCCGGGAAGGCGGAGCCGGGACATTGTCACCGGGACAAAGGAAAAGGAACCAGCGCCGGACGGGGCGGGCCGGGGGCACCGGACGCCGTGGGTGGGGGGTGGGGGGGGGTTGGACCGGACGAGAGGCCGGCGCGGGGAGGGGGAGCGGCCCTGAGCCCGGCGCGCCCCCCGGGACCCCCGCACCGGGTTGCGGGAGGCGCCGCCGCCCCGGGGGCCTCCGGGAACCCCGTGAGCGGAGCCCGGAGGGGCGGCGGGGCGGGTGTGGGGCGGGCCCGGTGCCGGATACCGGCCTGGGGAGGGGTCCCGTGTGCGCCCCCGCCCCGTTCCCCCGTTCCCGCGGGTCCCCGGGCCGCGGTGCGGTGGCGCCCGGTGCCGCGGGGGGGCGCCCTCGGGGCGGGGGCACGGCGGGCGTGGCCACGCCCACAGCCGGGAAGGGGCGGGGCTTAGCACTCGTGTGGGCGGGGCAACGAGGGGCGTGTCCTCGTTGGTGTGACGTCATTCTCGCGGGAACCGGGCGACGTTTTCTGAGCCATTCAACTCGGTGACAGACTCTGCCTATGTGGCAGGAGTAGTGTCCAGGGCGGAGCAGGCTGTGCTCAGAGAAATAGAAAATGAACATCTCTTCAGGTTGCTCTCAAGGCTGATTTATTTAATCTCTCACCGGGAGCATCCATTCTTTGTGATGCATGTGAGGTCACACACTGATTTGCCAGGTGAGATTGCAGAGGGGAATCGCAGAGCAGACTCCCTTGCTGCACCAGTAAATAAAGCACGTCTCCCTGATGTTTTCCAACAGGCAAAGCTGAGTCACCAGCATTACCACCAGAACGTGCCAGGTTTGATTCGACAGTTCCAGCTAACACGGAGTCAGGCCCGAGCCATTGTGACCAACTGTCCTAATTGCCAGCTCCAGGCTGTGCCATCCTTAGGCATGGGGGTAAACCCCAGAGGCCTTGGCAGCTGTGAGGTATGGCAGACAGACATCACACACATTCAGAGTTTTGGTCACCTTGAATGCGTTCATATGGCAGACAGACATCACACACATTCAGAGTTTTGGGCGCCTTGAATGCGTTCATGTGAGCGTGGACACATTCTCAGGTGCAGTATATGCCTCTGCCCATATAGGACAAAAGGCTGCACATGTCAAACAACACCTAGTGCAAGCATTTTCAGTATTGGGGGTGCCAAAAACGATCAAAACAGATAATGGCCCAGCGTATGTATCCAAGGAGTTCCTGGAATTTCTCCAACAGTGGGGAGTGGAACATAAGACTGGCATTGCCCACTCCCCCACAGGTCAAGCTGTAGTCGAGCGTGCACACCAGACGCTCAAGCAGGTATTGAAAAAACAAAACAGCTCAGCTCCGTGGATGTCTCCACGAGAGAAGCTCTGTAAAGCTATGTTTACTATCAATTTTCTGAATTGTTCATTTGAAAATATGAGTCCACCGGTTGTACGTCACTTTAACAGTGGCAACCAGTTTAAATTGTCTCAGCATCTCCGGGTCTTGATTAGGGATCCAGAAACTTGGGAAACCAAGGGTCCCTATGGACTTGTCACCTGGGGTCGTGGCTCTGCGTGTGTAGCTACTCCCTCAAGCCCTCGGTGGATTCCCCAGAAGTGGGTGAAACCTTTTGTCCCCAAGAATCCAGACCAGACAAAAGGGGACAGGAAGCAAGTAGCTGATGCTTCAAAGAGAAGACGCCGCCGGATGGGAGAAGAAGAAAGTTCCTAAGCATGAATTCCTTCCGGCAGAAACAGAAACTTTAATATGTTCTTAAAATGTTTGTTTTTCCCTTTTAGAGAAAACCTACCTCCCACTCAACCCGGTGATGAGCCCCATCCGAGTTGTCATCCTGCGAATGCTGAACAGTCAGGCAGCCGCATGGATCGTCCCTCAGCCACGTCAAAACGTCTGGGTGACCCTGGCACAGACGCTACAGCAGGAAAACATTTGCTTGTCCACTGCAGCAGCAAAAGACCCTATGTCCACCTCTCTGGTAGGAATTCCATGGCAGGCTGGAGAATTTCCAGCAGGCCTGGACACATACATGTCCAATGAAATCCCAGAGTCATACACCCCACAGCCACACAAAGATCAGAAGCAAGTCGGGGGGATCCTAAAATCCTTAGGGGAGTGGTTGTGGGGTTTGCCCAAGATAGCTCAAGAACCCCAAGAGTTAGAGCTATTGGGTTCCTCCCCTGCAGCTTACTGTGTGCACTTTGCTGTGCTCCCAAAACCTTCTAACACTGACGAATACCACGTTATAAAACAACACCGTGGGGAGTTCACTGCAAGGAGTGGTGTCAGAACACGAGCCATATCGGGGCAGACAACCCATCTCACTCCAGCCCCAAAGGTCTCCCTAAGGGATTGTTTTTAATTTGTGGGGATAGGGCATGGGCAGGAATTCCGTCTCGGCTTTTAGGAGGGCCATGTACGATCGGGAAGCTGTCCATATTGACACCCAACCAAACTCTAATTGGTGAATGGACTCACAAAAATAAATCGGCAAACAAAATTCAAAAGAGGAGTGCCGACCCTTCGGACCCAAATTGTAACTCAGAAATTTTTCGTTGGGCCAAGTCAAAAAGAGTTGCTGTGTCCCTGTTTCTTCCGTGGGTCGCAGCAGCCAAAGCTCTAGGTGAATTGGGCCACCTAGAGTGCTGGGTGGTCAAACAGGCAAACTTAACATCTGCTGCCATCAGCTCCCTCCTAGAAGATGAGGAAATTACCAGACAGGCCACGCTGCAGAATCGTGCTGCAATAGATTTCCTTTTGCTACTGCATGGACATGAATGCAAGGAATTTGAAGGACTTTGTTGCATGGACCTGACTTCAAAAGCTCCAAACGTCCATGCTGCCCTTCGAAGCATGAACAGCCTGATCGGACAAGTGAAGCAAGAGTCTGAAGATTGGTTTACAGAACTGTTCAAGGGATGGGGATTCACGGGGTGGTGGACATCTGTTGTTAGATCAATTTTGTTAGTCTTTGTTATTTTGTTCTTTGTAACCCCAGCGTTCGGGACCATACTCAGGGTTAAATTAAGCCCAGTGAATTCCTGTAACCTTGTTTAACAAATAAGGGGGAGGTGTTACAGTGAGCTCATGGGCACCCTGTGCCCCCCTTCCCCGGGACCCTGTGACTCTGATCAAGATAACCCTGGACCCCTCCTTCCTGCCCCAGCGGGGTTGGCAAAGAGCCAGGGAAGCCCACCCTGTCCAAAGTCTATATAGACCCCTGACATTTCCTGTTCATCCTCTTTTGCCCCGCTCTCCCCTAGGATATCACAGAATAAAGAGAGCTGAACCAACTTCTGGGGTAAGAGCCTCTTTTGAGTATCTTTACCCTTCTCCTGATATTCCTGTTATGTGTAGTAAATATAATTTGCGCCATTTCTAATATGATATATGTGATATTGAATATTTGTTAGAGTATACATGTTTGTATTAGGATTTCCCCCCCCACAGGCACAGGTGAGACTGGGTGTAGATTGGAAACTGATTTACAAGTAAGAAGGTACAGCTCGCCAGGAGATGGGCCATGTCTGGGGACATACAGAAACCCCAGGTGCTGATCATCGTGTGAGCGACCCGAGATGGATATCATGGAAATCCTCAGGCAGATACATGTGAATACAGCGTTCCTGTAAATTTCATCAAAAGATTCAACAAACTCCGGACAGTGATTTGTTCTCCCTCATCACCAAAAAGAAAATCTTATTAACATATGGACTCTGAATAGAAGAAAAGACTGATTGCTGAAATCTTAGCCTCAGGCGGAATTATCCCTATAAAACTTGCTTGTGCCAGGATGGAGGTGTGTGGGCATGGAGGAAAACCTCTGCTGAGGCTGACTCCTTGTTGCACACCCAGGGCCGACCCCGGGCTCGGCTCTGTTCTTTCCTTGTGGCTGGCTAGATAAAATTTGATTGTAAAATAAATATTTTATTTTTCATATTAATTTGGCTGGACAAATTTTCATTTATAACATTCCTCCCCTCACAGCCCCTTATCTCTGAGCTAGTCGGATTTTTCGGGGGGCAGCGTGAAGGGGGAACAACAATTACAGAGTGCCCGTCAGACCCCTCTATGCTCTTATTGCCAACAGAAATAGAGATCTCCAGTGGTCAAGGGAAGCCACAGGGGCCTTTCACCAGCTAAAGTGCCCTCATGTCAGCTCCAGCCTTGGGCCTTCCCGACATAAGTAAACCATTCTTTCTATTTTCCTATGAAAAACAGGGAATTGCCATGGGAATATTGGCTCAGGACTTGGGTCCGTATCGGAGGACAGTGGCTTGCTTTTCCAAGCAAGTGGATGCAATGGCTGCGGGATGGCCAGGCTGCCTCAGGGCGGTGGTCAAACGAAAGATTTTCCAGAGATCACTTGAGCTACCAAAATGAATGTATCAAAAATGAATGTATCAAAAATGAATATATCAAAAATGAATGTATCGTGTTTGTAGAATCACGTGTTGAATTTTAAGAAACCTCTGCACAAAAGGCATACGAAAGAAAACAAAGATCTTTAAAGCTTCTTGCAAAAAGACAAATACTGGAAAGGACCAGGAATGCCAAGACTTCAGACAAGAAAGCCCCTCTGCCTCCAAACATGTCAAGGATGATGGACTTATTCAGATAGGAGACACTGGGGACATCAGGGACACTGGGGACATGGGGGACATTAGGGACATGGGGGACATGGGGGACATTGGGGACATGGGGGACACCAGGGGGACATGGGGACATCGGGGACACCAGGGGGACATGGGGACATCAGGGACACTGGGGACATTGGGGACATGGGGGACATGGGGGACATGGGGACACTGGGGACAGTGGGGACATTGGGGACACTGGGGATATTGGGGACAGCAGGGACATCAGGGGGACATTGGGGACATTGGGGACCATGGGGACATGGGGACATTGGGGACATTGAGACATTGGGGACATTGGGGACATGGGGACATGGGGACATTGGGGACACTGGGGTGGAAAGGAGCTGGGGGAGGGCGCTGCTCTTAGGGTGGAGAGTGAGGGGGGGGATTGTGCCGGGACTGAGACCCTGCCCCTCCCCCCTGCCCCTCCCCCTACCCCAATTTTGGCCATTTTGGGGTCCCTCCCCTCCTGCTCCTCCCACCATCCCAATTTTGGGGTCCCCCTGCCCCTCCCCCCTGCCCCTCCCCCTACCCCAATTTTGGCCATTTTGGGGTCCCTCCCCTCCTGCTCCTCCCACCATCCCAATTTTGGGGTCCCCCTGCCCCTCCCCCACCCCGATTTTGGGGTACCACCACCCCTTCCCTTCCCCACCCAAATTGGGGTCCCCCCGCCCCTCCCCCCCCACACCTCCATTCCCAGTCCGGCCGCGCTGCTGAACTGGGAGCGGCCCCGCCCAGTCTGGCCAAACTGGGAGGGGGGGAGGGGCAGGGGGACCCCCTTGGCTGTGACGTCATCAGCACATTCCCCAAAATCCGATAAGGGCCGGGGCCGCCCCTCCCCCACCCCCCCCAGGGACCAGGGAAATGGGCTGGAACTGGGAGCACTGGGAGGGACTGGGCGTGAACTGGGATGGACTGGGAGAGACTGGGACAAAACTGGGACCAAACCGGGAGGGACGGTGACCAAACTGGGAGCACTGGGAGGGAAGAGGGAATGGACTGGGAGGGACTGGAACCAAACTGGGAGGAACTGGGGGGGACTGGGTGTGAACTGGCATCGAACTGGGATCAAACTGGGAGCATTAGGAGGGACTGGGAGCAAACTGGGATGGACTGGGGGGGACTGGGAGCCAGGGGTGGCTCTGCCCCATAAGTGCCCCAGGCTGTGCCCCACAAGTGCCAGGCGGGCTATGACCCCATTTTGGGCTGATTTTTTTCGATTTTTGGGATCTTTACCCATTTTTGGTCTGATTTCTCCCATTTTTGCCTCTCCCTCTATTTATTATTTATTATTCATTACTCATTATCGTTATTTATTATTTATTATTTATTATTTATTATTTATTATTTATTATTTATCATTTATTATTATTTATTATTGTTTATTAATTATTAATTAATTAATTATTTCTCTCCCAAACTTTTCGATTTCTCTTCAATGAACCCTGGAAATTTTGGGGTAAAATCTCCTTTATTGCTGATCCCCCTCCCCCCGAGCAGGGGGCTTGGCCCCACCCCCTTTTGGGCAGGCCCCACCCCCTTTGTGTCCCCTCGGAAAAGCCCCGCCCCCTTCAGGCAGGCCCCGCCCCCTCGGACAAGCCCCGCCCCTCGGACAAGCCCCACCCCCTTTTGGGCAGGCCCCACCCCCTTTGTGTCCCCCGGACAAGCCCCGCCCCCTTCAGGCAGGCCCCGCCCCCTCCCCAGGTGACAATCCTGGCGTGGCCCCGCCCCCTCCCCAGGTGACAATCCCGGTGTGGCCCCGCCCGCACAGCCCCCAGGATTTGGTGTCACCCCCGCGGTGACCCTGGGTGACACCGAGTGACCTCCGTGTGACATCGGGGTGACCCCATGTGACCCCGTGTGACACTGGAATGACCCTCACGGTGTCACCCCCACCGTGTGACACCGATGTCACCCGGTGTCAGCACGGTGGTGGCAGGGACACAGGACCCGGGCCATGGCGCCAATGTCACCGACTGTCCCCAGTGTCCCCTCGGTGACGGCAGGGACACAGGACCCGGGCCATGGCGCTGTGTCACCGACTGTCCCCGGTGTCCCCTCAGTGACGGCAGGGACACAGGACCCCGGCCATGGCGCTGTGTCACCGACTGTCCCCGATGTCCCCTCGGTGACGGCAGGGACACAGGACCCGGGCCATGGCGCTGTGTCACCGACTGTCCCCAGTGTCCCCTCAGTGACGGCAGGGACACAGGACCCGGGCCATGGCGCTGTGTCACCGACTGTCCCCGATGTCCCCTCGGTGATGGCAGGAACACAGGAGCCGGGCCATGGCGCTGTGTCACCGACTGTCCCCAGTGTCCCCTCAGTGACGGCAGGGACACAGGAGCCGGGCCATGGCGCTGTGTCACCGACTGTCCCCAGTGTCCCCTCGGTGACGGCAGGGACACAGGAGCCGGGCCATGGCGCGGGCCAGGCTGGCGCTGAAGGCGGCCGAGATCCAGGGGTTGGTGCAGCTGGTCAGGCTGGCCAGGAGCATCAGGATGGTGAACGCTGGCCCTGGGGACACCAGGGGACAGTTGGGGACATTTGGGGACAGCCCTAGGGACAGCCCCAGGGACAGCCCCGGGCTCTGGGATGGGGATATTTGGTGACAATCGTGCCCGGACAGAGCCGTGGTGGGGTCACCCTCCCCTGTGCTGGTGTCCCCATGGCTGTGTCACCTCTCCATGGCTCTGTCACCTCCCCTGTCACCTCCCCCATAGACCTGTCACCCCCCTGTCCCCCTCATGTCCCCATTGTTGTGTCCCTGTCACCTTCTCCCTGTTCCCACCCCCTACGTGTGCCATCCCCACACCCGTCACATCCCCATGTCCCCAATGTCCCAAATGTCCCTGTCCCAAATGTCCCAATGTCCCCAATGTCCCATGTCCCCAATGTCCCCAACGTCCCCAGCGTCCCCATGTCCCCAATATCCCAAATGTCCCAATGTCCCCAAAGTCCCCAATGTCCCCAATGTCTCAATGTCCCAAATGTCTCAATGTCCCCAATGTCCCCCCCATGTCCCCATTGTCCCCAATGTCCCCAATGTCCCCCTGATGTCCCTGCTGTCCCCAATATCCCCAGTGTCCCCAATGTCCCCAATGTCTCCAATGTCCCCATGTCCCCATTGTCCCCAATGTCCCCGATGTCCGATTGTCCCCAATGTCCCCAATGTCACAATGTCCAGTGTCCCAATGTCCCCAATGTCCCCAATGTCCCCGATGTCCCCATGTCCCCCTGGTGTCCCCCATGTCCCCAATGTCCCCATGTCCCCAGTGTCCCCAATGGCCCCAATGTCCCCAATGTCCCCAATGTCCCCAGTGTCCCCAATGTCCCCAATGTCCCCAATGTCCCCATGTCCCTCTGGTGTCCCCCATGTCCCCCTGGTGTCCCCCATGTCCCCAATGGCCCCCACGTCCCCAGTGTCCCCCTGGTGTCCCCCATGTCCCCAATGTCCCCCATGTCCCCAGTGTCCCCATGTCCCCAATGTCCCCCATGTCCCCGATGTCCCCATGTCCCCCTGGTGTCCCCCATATCCCTAATGGCCCCCATGTCCCCCATGTCCCCAATGTCCCCCATGCCCCCATGTCCCCCTGGTGTCCCCCATGTCCCCATGTCCCCTGTCCCCTCTCACCTTCCCGCGGTGCCCGGGGGTCCCACACTGCCCAGAGCTGGGCGCAGAAGAACGGTGTCCAGCAGAGCACGAACACGCCCAGGACCACCACGGCCATGCGGTGGCTCTTGGCCCTGGCCCTCCCCAGGCCCCCGTGGCCACCGGGGAGCCGCGGTGGCCCCCGGAGCGCGCGGGCCACGGCCGCCAGCAGCACCCCCAGCAGCACGGCCGGGGCCACCAGCACGGCCAGCGCCACCCAGGTGACATAGGCCCGGGCGCCCCAGGGCTGCGCGAAGGTGGCCCAGCAGTCGCTCTCGCCCGGGGCCACCTCGCGCTGCCCGAAGATGCCCACCTGGGGCAGCCCGAAGAGCAGAGCCAGGGCCCAGGCCGTGGCCAGCGCGTCCCAGCGCCGCCGAGCCCGGGCCAGTCCTGAGCGAGCCCGGGACAGTCCCGAGCAGGCCCGGGACAGTCCCGAGCGGGCCCAGGCCAGTCCCGAGCGAGCCCGGGCCAGTCCCGAGCGAGCCCGGCCCGCGGCCACCCCGCACCAGCTCCCGCTGGCCCTGCACAGTGCCATGGTGGCCTCGGAGCCGCCGGCCGGGGGGCGTTGGGGCACCCCCGTGGTGGCCCCAGAGTCCCCCGTGGTGGCCCCAGAGCCGGCTGGGTGGGGCTGAGGCACCCCCGTGGTGGCCCCAGAGTCCCCCGTGGTGGCCCTAGAGTCCCCCGTGGTGGCCCAGGACCCGTCCGTGGTGGCCCCAGAGCCGGCTGGGTGGGGCTGAGGCACCCCCGTGGTGGCCCCGGTCCCCCTCATGGTGGCCCCAGAATCCCCCGTGGTGGCCCCAGAGTCCCCCGTGGTGGCCTGTGACCTTGTGGGTGTCTGGGGTGACAAGGGGGGTGATGGGGACACTGGGGTGACATGGAGGGACACTGAGGACACACGGTGGGACACTGGAGTGACATTGGGGCTTGGGGACACTGGGGTGACATGGAGGGACTCTGGGGACACATGGTGGGACACTGGAGTGACATTGGGGCTTGGGGACACCGCGGTGACATGGAGGGACACTGGGGTGACAGGAAGGGACACTGAGGTGACATTGGGGCTTGGTGGCACTGGGGACACACGGTGGGACACTGGGGTGCCATTGGGGCTTGGGGACACTGGGGTGACGTGGAGGGTTGGGGACACAGGGGTGGCACAGGGGCCTGGGGGGCACAGAGGGGATGTGGCAGCGCTGCTGTCCTCACTGTCCCCGCTGTCCCTGTGTCCCCAAGCCCCAGCCGGTTCCCAGGTGCCATCCCAGGTGTCCCGGCGTCCCTGCACCCTGTCCCTGCCGCTGTCCCTGTGTCCCCACCCCCAGCAGCCCGAGTGTCCCCCTGTGCCACTCCCGGTGTCCCCAGTGTCCCCACACTGCCACCCCCAGCACCCCATTGGTCTCCGTGTCCCTCCCCGGCTGTCCCCAGTGGTGTCCCCATGCCCCCCAGTTTGTCCCAGTGTCCCTCCCTGGATGTCCCCAGTGGTGTCCCAATATCCCTGCACCCCAGTGTCCCCAAGGGTGCCTGCAGTGTCCCCAGCAGTGTCCCCAGTGTCCCTGTGTCCCCTTCCCCACCCCCAGCACCAGCACTGTCCCCTTGTCCTGATGTCCCCAATCCCCCTAGTGCCCCTAGTGCCCCCAGTCCCCCCAGTGTCCCCAGTCCCCCCAGTCCCCCCAGTGTCCCCAGCAGTGTCCCCAGTGTCCCTGTGTCCCCTTCCCCACCCCCAGCACCAGCACTGTCCTCTTGTCCTGATGTCCCCAATCCCTCCAGTCCCCCTAGTGCCCCCAGTCCCCCCAGTGTCCCCAGTGTCCCTCTGTCCCCTTCCCCACCCCCAGCACCAGCACTGTCCCCTTGTCCTGATGTCCCCAATCCCCCCAGTCCCCCCAGTGTCCCCAGTCCCCCCAGTGTCCCCAGCAGTGTCCCCAGTGTCCCTCTGTCCCCTTCCCCACCCCCAGCACCAGCACTGTCCCCTTGTGCTGATGTCCCCAATCCCTTCAGTCCCCCCAGTCCCCCCAGTCCCCCCAGTGTCCCTAGTGCCCCCAGTGTCACCAGCAGTGCCCCCAGTGTCCCTCTGTCCCCTTCCCCACCCCCAGCACCAGCACTGTCCCCTTGTGCTGATGTCCCCAATCCCTTCAGTCCCCCCAGTCCCCCCAGTCCCCCCAGTCCCCCCAGTCCCCCTAGTGTCCCCAGTGTCCCTCTGTCCCCTTCCCCACCCCCAGCACCAGCACTGTCCCCTTGTGCTGATGTCCCCAATCCCCCCAGTCCCCCCAGTGCCCCCAGTCCCCCCAGCAGTGTCCCCAGTGTCCCTCTGTCCCCTTCCCCACCCCCAGCACCAGCACTGTCCCCTTGTCCTGATGTCCCCAATCCCCCCAGTCCCCCCAGTGTCCCCAGCAGTGTCCCCAGCAGTGTCCCTGTGTCCCCTTGCCCAGCCGCAGCACTCCGTGCCCCGGGACCCGCGGGCAGCCCGGCGGCGGTCGCGCCCCGGGGCGGTCCCCAGCGGGCGGCAGATGGCCCGGTGGCGATCCCAAGCCATGGCCACGGCCACGTAGGCCGAGGCGAACATGGCCACTCCCTGCAGGTACTTGGTGAGGCGGCAGAGCGGGTCGGGGCCCCGGAACCGGTCCGTGAGGTCCCAGAGCAGCTGCGGCAGCACCAGCCCCGCCGCCGCCGCCAGGTCCGCCAGGCTCAGGTGCCGCAGGTAGCGGCGGAGCGGCCGCGCCGGGCGGGCCGGGGGCTGCCCGGGCCCGCGGGGGGCTCGCGGGGGGCTCCGCAGCGCCAGCAGCACCAGCGCGTTGCTGCTCAGCGCCAGCAGCAGCAGCAGCGCCAGGACCGCGACCTCGGCCACGGCCAGCGCCGCGTCCCGAGGGGGAGCGGGGGTGGGCGTGGGGGGCGGCTGGGGGGGGAAAAGAGGGGTGAGCTGGGGTGAATTGGGGCTGGGGGCGTCATAATGGGGGGAAATGGGGGGAAATGGGGAGAAATTGGGGCTGGGGGCATCAAAATGCGGATAAATGGGGAGGAAATGGGGGGAAATTGGGGCTGGGGGCGTCAAAATGCGGAGAAATGGGGGGAAAATGGGGAGAAATTGGGGCTGGGGGCGTCATAATGGGGGGAAATGGGGAGAAATTGAGTCTGGGGATGTCATAACGGGGAGAAGTGGGAAGGAAATTGGGTCTGGGGGTGTCAAAATGGGGGAAACAGGGAGAAATTGGTGTGGAATTGAGTCTGGGGATGTCATAATGGGGAGAAGTGGGAAGGAAATTGGGTCTGGGGGTGTCATAATGAGGAGGAATGGGGGGAAATGGGGAGAAATTGGGGCTGGGGGCGTCAAAATGCGGATAACTGGGGAGGAAATGGGGGGAAATTGGGTCTGGGGATGTCATAATGAGGAGGAATGGGGGGAAATTGGGTCTGGGGGCGTCAAAATGTGGAGAAATGGGGGGAAATGGGGAGAAATTGGGGCTGGGGGCGTCAAAATGCGGATAACTGGGGAGGAAATGGGGGGAAATTGGGTCTGGGGGTGTCATAATGAGGAGAAATGGGAAGGAAATTGGGTCTGGGGGTGTCATACTGAGGAGGAATGGGGGGAAATTGGGTCTGGGGGTGTCAGGGGCTGCCCGGGCCCGCGGGGGGCTCGCGGGGGGCTCCGCAGCGCCAGCAGCACCAGCGCGTTGCTGCTCAGCGCCAGCAGCAGCAGCAGCGCCAGGACCGCGACCTCGGCCACGGCCAGCGCCGCGTCCCGAGGGGGAGCGGGGGTGGGCGTGGGGGGCGGCTGGGGGGGGAAAAGAGGGGTGAGATGGGGTAAATTGGGGCTGGGGGCGTCAAAATGCGGAGAAATGGGGGGAAATGGGGAGAAATTGGGGCTGGGGGCGTCAAAATGCGGATAACTGGGGAGGAAATGCGGAGAAATTGGGTCTGGGGGTGTCGTAATGGGAGAAAACGGGGAGAAATTGGTGTGGAATTCAGTCTGGGGATGTCATAATGGGGGGAAATGGGAAGGAAATTGGGTCTGGGGGTGTCATAATGAGGAGGAATGGAGGGAAATTTGGTCTGGGGGTGTCAAACTGGGAGAAATGGGAGGGAAATTGGCTCTGGGGGCAGGAAAAAGGGGAGAAATTGGGAGGAAATGGGGAGAAATTGGGTCTGGGGGTGTCATAATGGGGGGAAATTGGAAGGAATGAGGGGGAAATTTGGTCTGGGGGCATCAAAATGCGGAGAAATGGGGAGAAATGGGGGAAAATTTGGTCTGGGGGTGTCATAATGGGGAGAAATGGGAAGGAAATTGGGTCTGGGGGTGTAAAAATGGGAGAAAATGGGGGGAAATTGAGTCTGGGGGTGTCAAAATGGGGAGAAATGGGGGGAATTGGTGGGAAATTTGGTCTGGGGGTGTCATAATGGGGGGCAATTGGACGGAATGGAGGAGAAATTGGGTCTGGGGGCAGAATTATGGGGGAAACCGGGGAGAAATTGGGTCTGGGGGTATCATAATGGGAGAAACCGGGGAGAAATCGGTGTGGAATTCAGTCTGGGGATGTCATAATGGGGAGAAATGGGAAGGAAATTGGGTCTGGGGGTGTCAAAGTGGGGAGAAATGGCAGAAATTGGGTCTGGGGGTGTCAAAATGGGGGAAACAGAGAGAAATTGGTGTGGAATTGAGTCTGGGGATGTCATAATGGGGAGAAGTGGGAAGGAAATTGGGTCTGGGGGTCTCAAAAAGGGGAGAAATGGGGGAAAATTTGGTCTGGGGGTGTCACATTGGGGGAAATGGGGGGAATTGGTGGGAATTGGGTCTGGGGTCTCAAAAAGGGGAGAAATGGGGAGGAAATGGGTCTGGGGGTGTCAGAGTGGGGGTCCATTGAGTCGGGGGGTGTCCGTGAGGGTCTGGGGGTGTCAGGGGGGGTCTGTGGGGTTCAGATAAGTGGGGGAGGGGCGCTGCTCTTGGGGGGGGGAGGGAGACCCCGCCCCTCCCCCCGCCCCAATTTCGGCAATTTTGGGGTCCCTCCCCCCCCGCCCCTCCCCCCCGGTACCTCCACCCCAATTTCGGGGTCCCGCCCCTCCCCCACCCCGATTTGGGGTCCCCCCGCCCCTCCCCCACCCCGATTTGGGGTCCCCCCCCCTCACCTCCATTCCCAGTCCGCTCCCAGTCCGGCCGCGCTGCTGAACTGGGAGCGGCCCCGCCCGGACTGGGCGAACTGGGAGGGGGGGAGGGGCAGGGGGACCCCCCGGGCTGTGACGTCATCAGCGCATTCCCCAAAATCTGATAAGGGCCGGGGCCGCCCCTCCCCCACCCCCGGGAGCGGGGAAATGGGCTGGAACTGGGAGCACTGGGAGCGAACTGGGGGGGACTGGGAGCGAACTGGGAATGGACTGGGAACAAACTGGGAGCACTGGGATCAAACTGGGATGGACTGGGAGCAACTGGGAGGGACTGGGAGCAAACTGGGAGGGACTGGGAGCAACTGGAATCCACTGGGGATGGGATTGGGATGGACTGGGAGCACTGGGAATGGACTGGGAGCAAACTGGGAATGGACTGGGACCAATCTGGGAGCAAACTGGGAGGGACTGGGAGGGACTGGGGAGGAACTGGGAGGGATTGGGAAGGATGGGGGGGGGGAACTGGGAGCACTGGGAGGAGCTGGGACCAAACTGGGACCAAACTGGTATGGACTGGGATCAAACTGGAATGGACTGGGAGCAACTGGGAGACATTGGGACCAAACTGGGGGGGACTGGGAGGGACTGGGAGAGACTGAGACCGAACTGGGATCAAACTGGGAGGGCCTGGGAGCAACTGGGATCAAACTGGGGGGGACTGGGAGGGACTGGGACCAAACTGGGAGGGACTGGGATCAACTGGCCATGGACTGGGGGGAACTGGGACCAAACTGGGATCAAACTGGGACCAAACTGGGATCAAACTGGGAGAACTGGGAGGGACTGGGAGTGACTGGAACCAAACTGGGGGGGACTGGTTTATACTGGGAGGGAACTGGGAGAGAACTGGTTTTATACTGGGATGGAACTGGTTTATACTGGGAGGGAACTGGTTTATACTGGGATGGAACTGGTTTATACTGGGAGAGAACTGGTTTATACTGGGACGGAACTGGTTTTTACTGGGAGGGGATTTGGGGACCCCCCCCCAAGCCCCAAATAAAGAGATGGGAATGGCACCAGTGCCAAACTGGTTTTACTGGTTTGTACTGGGAGCGACTGGAAGCGACTGGGAGCGACTGGGAGCAAACTGGGAGGGAACTGGTTTATACTGGGAGGGAACTGGTTTGTACTGGGATGGAACTGGGAGAGAACTGGTTTATACTGGGATGGAACAGGGAGGGAACTGGTTTGTACTGGGATGGAACTGGGAGAGAACTGGTTTATACTGGGATGGAACAGGGAGGGAACTGGTTTGTACTGGGAGGGAACTGGTTTGTACTGGGATGGAACTGGGAGAGAACTGGTTTATACTGGGAGGGAACTGGTTTGTACTGGGATGGAACTGGGAGAGAACTGGTTTATACTGGGATGGAACAGGGAGGGAACTGGTTTGTACTGGGAGGGAACTGGTTTGTACTGGGATGGAACTGGGAAAGAACTGGTTTATACTGGGATGTAACTGGGAGGGAACTGGTTTATACTGGGAGAGAACTGGTTTATACTGGGAGAGACTGGGGGAACTGGTTTGTACTGGGAGGGAACTGGTTTGTACTGGGATGGAACTGGGAGGGAACTGGTTTATACTGGGAGGGAACTGGTTTGTACTGGGAGGGAACTGGTTTATACTGGGATGGAACTGGTTTACACTGGGAGAGAACTGGTTTATACTGGGATGGAACTGGTTTTTACTGGGAGGGGATTTGGGGACCCCCCCCCAAGCCCCAAATAAAGAGATGGGAATGCACCAGTGCCAAACTGGTTTTACTGGTTTGTACTGGGAGCGACTGGAAGCGACTGGGAGCGACTGGGACCAAACTGGGAGGGAACTGGTTTATACTGGGATGGAACTGGGAGAGAACTGGTTTATACTGGGATGGAACTGGGAGGGAACTGGTTTATACTGGGAGAGAACTGGTTTATACTGGGAGGGACTGGGAGGGAACTGGTTTATACTGGGAGAGAACTGGTTTATACTGGGATGGAACTGGGAGGGAACTGGTTTGTACTGGGAGGGAACTGGGAGAGAACTGGTTTATACTGGGAGAGAACTGGTTTATACTGGGAGGGACTGGGAGTTTCGGGTGGTTTTGGGGGCGGTCGCTGAAGTTTTGGGATTTTTTGGGGGGGATCGGCCGCATTTTTGGGGGTTCGCTGCAATTTCGGGGCCGTTTTTGGGGGGGTCAGTTCCAGTTTGGGGGTGTTTTTGGGGAGGGTCAGTTACAATTTTGGGGTGGTTTTTGGGGGGTTTAACCCCATTTTGGGGGTTTTTTTTGGGATATTTTTGGGGTGTTTTTTGGGGTGTGCGGCTGCATTCTGGGGGTGTTTTTGGGGAGGGTCAGTTACAATTTCGGGGTGTTTTTTGGGGGGTTAGCTCCAGTTTGGAAGTGTTTTTTGGGGGGTGCGGCTGCAATTTTGGGGTATTTTTGTGGGGGTGTAGCCGCATTTTCGGGGGGTGTTTTTGGGGAGGAGTTGCTGCATTTCGGGGCTGGTTTTGGGGGGTCAGCTACAATTTCGGGGGCATTTTTGGGGATGGGTTGCTGCATTTCGGGGCTGTTTTTGGGGGATTTAGCTGCAATTTCGGGGTGTTTTTGGGGGGTTTAGCTCCAGTTTGGGGGTATTTTTGGGGGTGTAGCTGCATTTTCGGGGGGTGGTTTTGGGTCATTTTTGCTGCATTTTCGGAGCTGTTTTTTGGGGGGGTTACCAGCACTCTGGGGGCTGTTTTTTGGGGGTGTATCAGCACTCTGGGGGCTGTTTTTTGGGGGCTGTATCAGCACTCTGGGGGCTGTTTTTGGGGGTGTATCAGCGGTCTGGGGGCTGTTTTTGGGGGTGTATCAGCACTCTGGGGGCTGTTTTTTGGGGGGGTTATGAACACTCTGGGGGCTGTTTTTTGGGGGGTTATCATCGATCTGGGGGCTGTTTTTTGGGGTGTATCAGCAGTTTGGGGGCTGTTTTTTGGGGGTGTATGAGCGATCTGGGGGCTGTTTTTTGGGGGGTGTATCAGCACTCTGGGGGCTGTTTTTTGGGGTGTTATCAGTGTTCTGGGGGCTGTTTTTTGGGGGTGTATCAGCAGTTTGGGGGCTGTTTTTTGGGGGGGGTTATCAGCACTCTGGGGGCTGTTTTTTGGGGGGTATCAGCAATCTGGGGGCTGTTTTTTGGGGGGGTTATGAGCAATCTGGGGGCTGTTTTTTGGGGGCTGTATCAGCACTCTGGGGACTGTTTTTGGGGGGCTGTATCAGCACTCTGGGGGCTGTTTTTTGGGGGGCTGTATCAGCACTCTGGGGGCTGTTTTTTGGGGGTATCAGCGGTCTGGGGGCTGTTTTTGGGGGTGTATCAGCACTCTGGGGGCTGTTTTCGGGGGGGGTTATCAGCGGTCTGGGGGCTGTTTTTGGGGGTGTATCAGCACTCTGGGGGCTGTTTTCGGGGGGGGTTATCAGCGGTCTGGGGGCTGTTTTTGGGGGTGTATCAGCACTCTGTGGGCTGTTTTTTGGGGGTGTATCAGCACTCTGGGGGCTGTTTTTTGGGGGCTGTATCAGCACTCTGGGGGCTGTTTTTTGGGGGGTATCAGCAGTTTGGGGGCTGTTTTTTGGGGGCTGTATCAGCACTCTGGGGGCTGTTTCTGGGGGGTGTATCAGCACTCTGGGGGCTGTTTTTTGGGGGGGTTATCAGCACTCTGGGGGCTGTTTTTTGGGGGCGGTATCAGCGGTCTGGGGGCTGTTTTTGGGGGGGTATCAGCACTCTGGGGGCTGTTTTTGGGGGCTGTATCAGCACTCTGGGGGCTGTTTTTTGGGGGGTGTATCAGCACTCTGGGGGCTGTTTTTTGGGGGGGTATCAGCACTCTGGGGGCTGTTTTTGGGGGGCTGTATCAGCACTCTGGGGGCTGTTTTTTGGGGGGGTTATCAGCACTCTGGGGGCTGTTTTTTTGGGGGGTTATCAGTGGTCTGGGGGCTGTTTTTTGGGGGGTTATCAGCACTCTGGGGGCTGTTTTTTGGGGGGGTTATCAGCACTCTGGGGGCTGTTTTTTGGGGGGTATCAGCACTCTGGGGGCTGTTTTTTGGGGGGTATCAGCACTCTGGGGGCTGTTTTTTGGGGGGGTTATGAGCGGTCTGGGGGCTGTTTTTGGGGGGGGTATCAGCGGTCTGGGGGCTGTTTCGGGGGGCTCAGGCGGTGGCGGGGACCCCCCCCGGCTGGAAGTGCTGCCGCTCCCAGGCGCTCATCAGCGAGAGGTGCAGCGGCCGCTGGCAGGAGGCGCAGGAGGGGCCCAGGGGGGAGTCCCGGGGCAGCCCCAGCGCCCCCCAACACTCGGACAGCTGGTCTGGGGGGGGCACGGGGTCAGGGGGGCACCCGGGCAGCGGGGAGTCCCCCGAGTGACCCCCGAGTGACCCCCGAGTGATCCCCGAGTGATCCCCGAGTGACCCCCGAGTGATCCCCAAGTGACCCCCGAGTGATCCCCGAGTGACCCCCCGAGTGACCCCCGAGTGACCCCTGAGTGACCCCCTGAGTGACCCCCGAGTGACCCCTGAGTGACCCCCGAGTGACCCCCCGAGTGACCCCCCGAGTGACCCCCGAGTGACCACTGACCCCCCTGAGTGAGCAGTGACCCCCCCGAGTGACCCCTGACCCGCCTGAATGAACCCCAGACTAACCAGTGACCCCCCCGAGTGACCCCCAGACTCACCAGTGCCCCCCAAGTGACCAATGACCCCGCAGGTGACCAATGACTCCCCAAGTGACCAGTGACCCCCCGAGTGACCAATGACTCCCCAAGTGACCAGTGACCCCCCGAGTGAGCAGTGACCCCCCCGAGTGACCAATGACCCCCCTGAGTGACCCCCCACTGACCAGTGACCCCCCCAGAGTGACCCCCCAGTGACCACTGACCCCCCCCTTGAGTAACCCCCAGACCGACCAGTGACCCCCCCCCAAGTGACCGGTGACCCTGCCGAGTGCCCCCCCCATGTCCCCCTCTGTGTCCCCCCCATGTCCCAGTGCCCCCCAATTCCCGCTGCCCCCCAGTGTCCCAGTGTCCCCCAATCCCCCCTCCCCAAATTCCCGGTGCCCCCCGGTGCCCCCCGGTGTCCCCGGTGCTCCCCCAGTGCCAACCCCTGTGTCCCCCCCCAGTTCTTGGTGCTCCCCCCAATTCCCGCTGCCCCCCGTGCCCCCCGTGCCCCCCAATTCCCTCTGCCCCCCCCGTGCCCCCCGTGCCCCCCATGCCCCCCAATTCCCTCTGCCCCCCAATGCCCCCCATGCCCCCCGTGCCCCCATGCCCCCCGTGCCCCCCGTGCCCCCCATGCCCCCCATACCCCCGGTGCCCCCCGTGCCCCCTGGTGCCCCTCGTGCCCCCCGTGCCCCTCACCCGCCAGGTTCTCCATCATCTGGGGGCTGTGCTGGGGGGTGGGGGCGATGCGCAGCAGTTCCCCCCCCCCTGGGCACCGTGGGGGGGTTGATGGCCTGGACGAAGAGCCCCCGCTCCAGCAGGGCCCGGCTCAGCCGCGTGGCCGCCCGCGCGTCCCCAACCTGCCGAAAATCAGCCACAATCACCCCAAAATCAGCCAAAATCACCCCAAAATCATCAGCCAAAAATAACCCTGAAATCACCCCAAAATCATCACCCCAAACCCGCCCCACCCCCAGGAGCAGCCCCACTCCAGCAGGGCCCGGCTCAGCCCCGTGGCCGCCCGCGCGTCCCCAACCTGGGAAAAACACCCCAAAATCAGCCCGAAATCAGCCAAAATCACCCTAAAATCATCCCAAAATAAACATCCAAAAATCAGCCTAAATCACCATAAAACAACCCCAAAATCAGACAAAACAACCCCAAAACAACCCTAAAATCACCCTAAAATAACCCTAAAATCATCAGCCCAAAATCATCCTAAATAACCCTAAAATCACTCCAAAATCGCCCTAAAATCATCCCAAAATAAACATCCAAAAATCAGCCTAAATCACCCTAAAACAACCCCAAAATCAGACAAAACAACCCCAAAACAACCCTAAAATCACCCCAAAATAACCTTAAAATCATCAGCCCAAAATCATCCTAAATAACCCTAAAATCACTCCAAAATCATCACCCCAAAATCACCCCAAAATAAACCCCCAAAATCACCCCAAAATCACCCCAAAATCATCACCCCAAAATCAGCCTAAAATCATCCAAAATAACCCTAAAATAACCCAAAAATCTGCCAAAACCAGACCAAAATCAGCCCAAATCACCTCAAAACCATCCAAAATAACCCCAAAATCAGCCAAAATAATCACCCCAAAATAACCCCAAAATCTGCCAAAAACACCCCAAAATCACCTCAAAATCATCCTAAAATAATCAACCCAAAATCATCCTAAATAACCCCAAAATCAGCCCAAATCATCCCAAAATCACTCTAAAACTATCAACACACAATATCCTAAATAACCGTAAAATCACCCTAAAATCAGCCCAAAACCATCCCAAAATAACCATAAAATCACCCCAAAATAACCCTAAAATCAGCCAAAATCACCCTAAAATAACCCTAAAATCATCAACCCAAAACCGTCCTAAATAATCCCAAAATCAGCCCAAAATCAGCCCACATCAGGCCAAAATCACCCTAAAATCCCCAACCCAAAATATAACCCTAAAATCATCCCAAAATCATCACCCCAAAATCAGCCAATATCACCCTAAAATCATCAATCCAAAATTACCCTAAATAACCCTAAAATCCCCCCAAAATCAGCCTAAATCACCCCAAATTCAGCACAAATAACCCCAAAATCAGCCCAAAATCACCCTAAAATCATCAGCCCAAAATAACCCGAAATAACTGTAAAACCCCAAAATCAGCCAAAAACACCCCAAAGTCAGCCCAAAAATCACCTGAAATCACCCAAAAAATAACCCTAAAATCACCCCAAAATCATCCTAAATCCCCCCAAAATCATCCTAAATAACCCCAAAACAATCCCAAAATCAGCCCAAAACACCCCCAAATCACCCTAAAATCACAACCCCAAAATAACCCTAAATAACCCCAAAATCAGCTAAGATCCCTTCAAAATCCCCCAAAATCCCTGAAAAACCCCCAAAATCTCAGAAAATCCCCCAAAATCCCTTCAAAACCCCCCAAATCGCTGAAAAACCCCGAAATTCCCCCAAAATCCCATAAAAATGCCTAAAAGCCCCCAAAATCATAGAAAATCCCCCCAAATCCCAGAAAATCCCCCCAAATTCCCCAAAATTCCAGAAAATTCCAGAAAAAAACTGAAAATCCCCCAAAATCTCAGAAAGTCCCTCCAAAATCCCCTCAAAAAAACCCAAACCCGCTCTAGAGCACCCCAAAATCCCCCAAAATCCCCCCAAATACACCCAAAATCCCCTCAAAATCCCAGAAAATCCCCCCAAAAACCCTTCAAAACCCCCCATAACCCCCAAAAAATCCCAGAAAAACCCCAAAAATCCACAAATATTCCCCCAAATCCCCCCCAAACCTGTCCCAGATCCCCTCAAATCCGCCCCAAATCCCCTGAAACTCACCCGAGTCTCTCAAAAACCCCCAAAATCTCCCATGCCCCCCCCAAACCTGCCCCAAATCCTCCCAAAATCCCCCAAACTCGCCCCGGAGCCCCGCAAACACCCCCTAAATCTCCCCAAAATCCCAGAAAATCCCCCAGAATCCCCCAAATTCCAGAAAATCCCCCAAAAATCTCCCAAAATCCCAGAAAATCCCCCCAGGGCCATCCCAAATCCCCCCAAATCTGCACCAAAATCCCTCCCAAACCCTCCCAATAACCCCCCAGAATCCCCAAATCCTCTCCAGAGTTCCTCAAAAACCCCCAAAACTCGCCCCAAATTCCCCTAAAATGCCCCAAAATCCCAGAAACTGCCCCCAAAATCCCAGAAAATGCCCCCCAAAAGGGCACTCACGGGCACGATGTGGCTGGGCGCGGGCACCCCCAAACCCGCCGAAACCCCCCAAAATTCCCCAAAATCCCTGAAAAATCCCCCAAAATTCCAGAAAACCCCCCCAAAATCCCAGAAAACCCCCCAAAGGCCACTCACGGGCACGGGCACGATGTGGCTGGGCGGGGGCAGCGCGGGCACGCCCAAACCCCCCAAAATCCCCCCAAAACACCCCAAACCCCCCCAAAATCCCAGAATATCACCCCAACCGCCACTCACGGGCACGGGCACGATGTGGCTGTGCGCGGGCAGCGCGGGAACCCCGAAACCCCCCCAAAATGCCCCAAAATCCCAGAAAATGCCCCCCAAAAGGGCACTCACGGGCACGATGTGGCCGGGCGCGGGCAGCGTGGGCACCCCCAAACCCCCCAAAATCCCCCAAAATCCCAGAAAACCCCCCGAACCGCCACTCACGGGCACGGGCACGATGTGGCTGGGCGCGGGCACCCCCAAACCCCCCATAACCCCTCCAAAACCCCCCAAAATCCCAGAAACCCCCCCCAAAATCCCAGAAAACCCCCCAAAGGGCACTCACGGGCACGGGCACGATGTGGCTGGGCGCGGGCACCCCCAAACACCCCAAACACCCCCAAACCCCCCAAAACCCCCCCAAAACCCCCCAAAATCCCGGGATATCACCCCAGACGCCACTCACGGGCACGGGCACGATGTGGCTGGGCGCGGGCAGCGCGGGCACTCCCGAAACCCCCCCAAAATCACCCAAAACACCCCAAAACCCCCCAAAAGCGTTTGGCACTCACGGGCACGGGCACGATGTGGCTGGGTGCGGGCAGCGCGGGCACCCCCAAACACCCCTAAACCCCCCCAAAATCCCCCCAAAACCCCCGAAAACACCCCAAAACCCCCCCAAAGGGCACTCACGGGCACGGGCACGATGTGGCTGGGCGCGGGCAGCGCGGGCACGCCGCGGTCCCGCAGCAGCACCCGCAGGTGTTTGGCGTTGCGCTGGTGGGAGCGGCGCAGGGCCCCCCCCTCGGGACCCCCCAAAACGCGCAGCGCCGCCAGAGCCCCCCCGAGCACGGCGGGCGGCAGCGCCGTGGTGAAGATGAAGCCGGGCCCGAAGGAGCGGACGGCGTCCACCAGCGCCGCCCCCCCGGCGATGTAGCCCCCCACGGCCCCCAGCGCCTTCCCTGCGGGCACACGGGGCCGGGGGGGCACCCCCAAATCACACCGGGGTCCCCCGGGCTCCTGAGGGCACCCCCGGCCCGCGCTGCCGCGGGGCTTCCCCGAACTCAGCGTCACGAGCCCCGTTTTGGGGGTACCACCCCTCCAATTTGGGGTCCCCCACCCCCGTACTGAGACGCCCGACCCCCATTGTTGGGGTCCCACCCCCCTTCTGGGATCCCTCACCCGCGTACCGAGACTCCCGGCCCCCATTTTTGGGGTCCCACTCCCATTTTGGGGTCCCCCACCCCCGTACTGAGACTCCTTTCCCCCATTTTGGGGTCCCCCACCCCTGTACCGAGACTCCCTCCCCTCATTTTTGGGGTCCCACCCGCATTTTGGGGTCCCCCACCCCTGTACCGAGACTCCCTCCCCCTATTTTTGGGGTCCCACCCCATTTTTGGGATCCTCCACCCCCGTACCGAGACTCCCTCCCCTCATTTTTGGGGTCCCACCCCCATTTTGGGGTCCCCCACCCCTGTACCGAGACTCCCGACCCCCATTTTTGGGGTCCCACCCCCATTTTGGGGTCCCCCACCCCCGTACCGAGACTCCCTCCCCTCATTTTTGGAGTCCCACCCCCATTTTGGGGTCCCACCCCCAATTTGGGGTCCCCCACCTCCGTACTGAGACTCCTTTCCCCCATTTTTGGGGTGTCCCTCCCATATTGAGGTTCCCTGCCCCCATTTTTGGGGTGCCACCCCCTTACCGAGACTCCCGACCCCCATTTTTGGGGTGTCCTCCCACGTACCGAGGCTCCCTCCCCTCATTTTTGGGGTGTCCCTCCCATATTGAGGTTCCCTGCCCCCATTTTTGGGGTGTCCCCCCACGTACCGAGGCTCCCTCCCCCCTTTTTGGGGTGTCCTTTTCCTATTTTTGGGGTCCCACCCCATTTTTGGGGTCCCCCACCCCCGTACCGAGACTCCCTCCCCCCATTTTTGGGGTCCCACCCCCATTTGGGGTCCCCCACCCCCGTACCGAGACTCCCTCCCCCCATTTTTGGTGTCCCACCCCCATTTTGGGGTCCCCCACTCCCGTACCGACACTCCCTCCCCCTATTTTTGGGGTCCCACCCCCATTTTGGGGTCCCCCACTCCCGTACCGACACTCCCTCCCCCTATTTTTGGGGTCCCACCCCATTTTTGGGGTCCCCCACCCCCGTACCGAGACTCCCTCCCCCCATTTTTGGGGTCCCACTCCCATTTTGGGGTCCCCCACCCCCGTACCGAGACTCCCTCCCCCCATTTTTGGTGTCCCACCCCCATTTTGGGGTCCCCCACTCCCGTACCGACACTCCCTCCCCCTATTTTTGGGGTCCCACCCCCATTTTGGGGTCCCCCACCCCCGTACCGAGACTCCCGACCCCCATTTTTGGGGTCCCACCCCCAATTTGGGGTCCCCCACCCCCGTATTGAGACTCCTTTCCCCCATTTTTGGGGTGTCCCTCCCATATTGAGGTTCCCTGCCCCCATTTCTGGGGTGCACCGCCTTACTGAGACTCCCGACCCCCATTTTTGGGGTCCCACCCCCATTTTGGGGTCCCCCACCCCCGTACTGAGACTCCTTCCCCCCATTTTTGGGGTGTCCCTCCCATATTGAGGTTCCCTGCCCCCATTTTTGGGGTGCCACCCCCTTACCGAGACTCCCAACCCCCATTTTTGGGGTGTCCCCCCACGTACCGAGGCTCCCTCCCCCCTTTTTGGGGTGTCCTTTCCCTATTTTTGGGGTCCCACCCCATTTTTGGGATCCTCCACCCCCGTACCGAGACTCCCTCCCCTCATTTTTGGGGTCCCACCCCCATTTTGGGATCCTCCACCCCCGTACCGAGACTCCTTCCCCCCATTTTTGGGGTGTCCCTCCCATATTGAGGTTCCCTGACCCCATTTTTGGGGTGCACCCCCTTACCGAGACTCCCTCCCCCCTTTTTGGGGTGTCCTTTCCCTATTTTTGGGGTCCCATCCCATTTTTGGGATCCTCCACCCTCGTACCGAGACTCCCTCCCCCCATTTTTGGGGTCCCACTCCCATTTTGGGGTCCCTCACCCCTGTACCGAGACTCCCTCCCCCCATTTTTGGGGTCCCACCCCCAATTTGGGATCCTCCACCCCCTTACCGAGACTCCCTCCCCCCACTTTTGGGGTCCCACCCCCATTTTGGGGTCCCCCACCCCCGTACCGAGACTCCCTCCCCTCATTTTTGGGGTCCCACCCCCATTTTGGGGTCCCCCACCCCCGTACCGAGACTCCCTCCCCCTATTTTTGGGGTCCCACCCCCATTTTGGGGTCCCCCACCCCCGTACTGAGACTCCTTTCCCCCATTTTTGGGGTGTCCCTCCCATATTGAGGTTCCCTGCCCCCATTTTTGGGGTGCCGCCCCCTTACCGAGACTCCCGACCCCCATTTTTGGGGTGTCCTCCCACGTACCGAGGCTCCCTCCCCACATTTTTGGGGTGTCCTTTCCCCATTTTTGGGGTCCCTCACCCAATTTGGGGTCCCCCACCCCTGTACCGAGACTCCTTTCCCCCATTTTGGGGTGTCCTCCCCCCATTTTTGGGGTTCCAAATCCATTTTGGGGTCCCCCCGTCCCGAGGGTCCCCGACACCCCGGGCTCCCCATCCCCGGGCTCCCCGTCCCTTCTCCCCCCATTTTCGGGGTGTCCCCCCATTTCAAGGTGCCCTAATTTTGGGTTTCCCCCATTTTTAGGAGTCCCTTTCCCCCATTTTTGGGGTTCCCCCCATTTTTGGGGTGCCGAACACCCCAGGCTCCCCATCCCCGGGCTCCCCGTCCCTTCTCCCCCCATTTCCGGGGTGTCCCTGCCCCAAATTTCAGGTTGCCCCCCAGATTTGGGGTCCCACTCCCCCATTTCATGTTGCCCCCATTTTTGGGGTGTCTTCCCCATTATTGGGGTGCCCCCTCCCCTTTTGGGGTTCCCCACGTACCGAGGGTCCCGAACACCCCACGTTCCCCGTCCCTTCTCCCCCCATTTTCGGGGTGTTCCCCCATTTCAGGGTGCCCCATTTTGGGGTGCCCCTATTTTTGGGGTGCCCCCTCCCCATTTTTGGGGTGCCCCCTCCCCATTTCGGGGTCCCCCCGTACCGAGGGTCCCGGACACCACGTCCACCTTGCCGCTGACCCCGTCCCGCTCGGCGATGCCGCCGCCCCGGGGCCCGTAGAGCCCCACGGCGTGAACCTCGTCCACGAAGGTGAGGGCGCCGTGGGCGTGCGCCACGTCACAGAGCTCGGCCAGCGGCGCGATGGAGCCTGCGCGGCGTTTGGGGGGGTTTGGGGGGATTTGGGGGAATTTTGGGGGAATTTTGGGGGGATTTGGGGGAATTTTGGGGGGATTTGGGGGGATTTCAGGTGAGCGGGTGCAATGACTCAGGGCACCACCTGGGGGCGCTATAGAGCCTGGTGGAAGATAGGGACCTGTGGGAGGATTTGGGGGGAATTTGGAGGATTTTAGGAGGATTTGGGGATTTTGGGGGGATTTTTGGGGGGATTTGGGAAGATTTTTGGGGATTTTTGGGGATTTGGGTGGATTTAGGGGATTTTTGGGCGGATTTTGGGGGGATTTTTTTGGGGGCATTTCAGGTGAGCGGGTGCAATGACTCAGGGCACCACCGGGGGGCGCTCTCGAGCTTGGTGGAGATTGGGAACTCTGGGAGGATTTTAGGGGATTTTGGGTGGGTTTTGTGGGGGCTTGCGCCGGTTTTGGGGGATTTGGGGCAATTGGAGGGTTTGGGGGGATTTTGGGGGAATTTTGAGGGATTTTAGGGTCATTTGGTGGGGGTTTTAGGGGATTTAAGGGGATTTTTGGGGGGTTTTGGAAGGGTTTTGGAAGGATTTGGGGCGGGTTTGGGGAGATTTGTGAGGATTTTAGGGGAATTTTGGGGGCATTTGGGGCATCTTGAGGGATTTTTAGGGGGATTTTGGGAGATTTTGCGGGGATTTGGGGGGAATTTGGGGGGATTTTAGGGTGGTTTGGGACGCATTTGGGGGATTTTTGGGCTGATTTTTGAGGGGTTTTGGAGGGATTTGGGGGCATTTTTCGGGGATTTGGGGTGATTTTAGGGGGATTTTTGGGAACTCAGGGATTTTGGGAATTTGGGTGGATTTGGGGGGAATTTTGGCAGTTCAGGGGGATTTTTGAGGGATTTTTGGGGGGTTTAAGGGGATTTTTGGGGGGGTTTGGAGGGATTTGGGGAGAGTTGGGGGAGTTTGGGGGAGTTTGGGGTGGATTTGGGGGACTTTGGAGTTGGTTTTGGGGGCATTTTGGGGCAGATTTGGAGGGGATTTGGGGGGGGATTTTGGCTTGTCCTGGGCTGTTTTGGGGTTCCCGCGGTACTTTGGGACATTTTGGGCTTTTTGGGGTTCCCGGGGGGTTTTGGGGCGCCCCTCGCTCACCGTCCATGGAGTGAACGGATTCGAAGGCGACGATTTTGGGGACCCCGGGGGGGCTGCGCCCCAAAAGCTCGTCCAGGTGCTGGGGGTCGTTGTGGCGGAAGATGTGTTTGGGGGCGCCGCTGCGCAGGATGCCCTGCACCATCGAGGCGTGGTTTCCCGCGTCCGAGAAGAAGTGGCAGCCTGGGGGCACCCCAAAAATCCGTCAGCGCCCCGAGAAACACCAAAAACCCATCAGCACCCCAAAAAACCATCAAAACCCCCAAAATCCCCCCCAAAAACCCCCAAAACCCTCCAAAAAAACCCCAAAATCCATCAGCGCCACAGAAAACCGGTCATAACCCCCAAAAAAATACCTCAAAAACTCGTCAGCACCCCGAAAAACCCCCAAAAATCTGTCAGCACCTCAAAAATCCCCAAAACCCATCAGCGCACCAAAAAAAATCCGAATAAAACAAAAAAAAACCCCGTCAGTGCCCCAAAAACCCCAAAAACCATCAGCAACCAAAGAAACCCAAAAAAACCCCCAAAAAAACTGGTCAGAACCCCAAAAAAACCCCAAAATCCGTCAACACCCAAAAGAAACCCCCAAAAACCCTCAGCACCCCGAAAAACCCAAAAATCCATCAGCGCCCCAAAAAAACCAGTCAAAACCCCAAAAAAACAGTCAAAAGCTGCCAATGCCCCAAAAAAACCCAAAATCCATCAGAACCCCAAAAAACCCCAAAAATCCGTCAGCACCCCAAAAAAACCCTAAAAAACCCTCAAAAAAACCCAAAAACCCGTCAGTGCCCCAAAAACGGCCCCCCAAAAAAACCCAAAAAAACCGCAAAAACCCCTCAGAATCACAAAAAAACCCAAAAGAAAACCCAAAATCCCCTCAGAACCCCCCCCAAAAAAACAAAAAAAACCCCAAAAACTCCTCAGAACTCCAAAAAACTCCCATAAACAACCCCCAAAAACCCATCGGCACCCCAAAGAACCCCAAAAAACTCCCCAAAACAACCCAAAACCCCATCCTAACCCCAAAAAATCCATCAGCGCCCAAAAAAACCCAAAAAATCCATCAGAACCCCTAAAAATCCCTCAGCACCCCAAAAGCGCCACCCCAAAACTGACCCGGGATCCTCAGCACCCCAAAAAAACACAAAAAAACACAAAAAAACCCCCAAAACCTGAAAAAACCCCAAAACACAAAAAAAACCCCACAAAACCCCCCCCCAAAACAACCGGGTTTTGGCATTCCCTGCCTGTTTTTGGGTTCCCTGCCCGTTTTTGAGGTTCTCACCCGTTTCTGGGGTTCCCTGCCCGTTTTTGGGGTGTCCCGCCCGTTTTTTGTGCCACCCTTCCCGTTTTTGGCATTCCTTGCCCGTTTTTGGGTTCCCTTCCCGTTTTTGGGGTTCCCTACCCGTCTTGGGGTTCCCCTCTGATTTTGGGATGCCCTGCCCGTTTCTGGGATGTCCCGCCCGTTTTGGGGTGCCCTGCCCGTTTTCGGGGTGCCCTGCCCGTTTTGGGGTTCCCTGCCCGTTTTGGGGTGCCCTGCCCGTTTTCGGGGTGTCCCGCCTGTTTTGGGGTTGCCCTGCCCGTTTTTGTCGTTCCCTGCCCGTTTTTGGGTCGCCCCGCCCGTTTCTGGGGTGTCCCACCCGTTTTCGGGGTGTCCTGCCCGTTTTTGGGATGTCCCGCCCGGTTTTGGTGCCCCCGTTCCCGTTTTTGTGGTTCCCGTCCTGTTTCTAGAGTGCCCCGCCCGTTTTCGGGGTGTCCCGCCCATTTTTGGGTTGCCCTGCCCGTTTCTGGGGTGTCCCACCCGTTTTTGCGGAGTCCCGCCCATTTTTGGGGTGCCCTTTCCGTTTCTGGGGTTCCCTGCCCGTTTTTGTGGTTCCCTGCCCGTTTTCGGGGTGTCCCGCCCGGTTTTGGTGCCCCCGTTCCCGCTTTTGTGGTTTCCGTCCTGTTTCTGGGGTTCCCTGCCCGTTTTCGGGGTGTCCCCCCCGGTTTTGGGTTGCCCTGCCCGTTTTTGTGGTTCCCTGCCCATTTTCGGGGTGCCCCGCCCGTTTTGGGGTTCCCTGCCTGTTTTTTGTGATGTCCCGCCCGTTTTCAGGGTGTCCCACCCGGTTTCGGGGTGTCCCGTCCGTTTTCAGGGCGTCCCGCCCCTTTTTGTAGTTCCCTGCCCGTTTCTGGGTGTCCCGCCCGTTTTTCGGGGTGTCCCGCCCGTTTTTCGGGGTGTCCCGCTTGTTTTCAGGGTGTCCCGCCCATTTTCGGGGTGCCCCGCCCATTTCCGGGGTGCCCCGCCCGTTTTCGGGGTGTCCCGCCCATTTTTGGGGTGCCTCTTCCGTTTCTGGGGTTCCCTGCCCGTTTTTGTGGTTCCCTGCCCGTTTTTGGGGGTGCCCCACCCATTTTCGGGGTGCCCTGCCCGTTTTGGGGTGCCCCGCCCGTTTTTCGGGGTGTCCCACCCGTTTTTCGGGGTGCCCCACCCGTTTCCGGGGTGCCCCGCCGTTTCGGGGCGCTCACCGGGCAGCAGCCGTGCCAGCGTGGCCAGCGCGGTGTCGTTGGCGGCGAAGCAGGAGGAGAAGAGGAGCGCGCGGCGCTTTCGGTGCAGCCGCGCCAGAGCCGCCTCCAGCGCCCCGTGAAGGGGTGCCGTGCCCGCGATGTTCCGGGTGCCGCCCGCGCCCAGCCCGTGAGCCGCCAGCGCTGCCCTGCACGGGAATTCGGGGGTTTTGGGGAGTTTTGGGGGGATTTTGGGGAGTTTGGGGAGAATTTTGGGGGGTTTTGAGGGCGTTTTGGATGCGGATTTCAGGGGAGATGCGGGGCGGTTTCAGCAGGTTTGGGGTGGATTTGGGTGGGTTTGGGGAGGATTTCAGAGGATTTTGGGGGGATTTTGGGGTGGTTTGGGGGATTTGGGAGGTTTGGAGGGGATTTAGGGGGGTTCAGGGGTTTTTGGGGGGAATTCAGGGGGTTTTGGGGGCATTTGGGCACCGTGCCCGCGATGTTCCGGGTGCTGCCCGCGCCCAGCCCGTGAGCCGCCAGCGCTGCCCTGCACGGGGGAATTCGGGGGTTTTGGGGAGTTTTGGGGGAATTTTGGGGTTTTTGGGGTTTTTTGGGGGGATTTAAGGGCGTTTTTGATGCGGATTTCAGGGGAGATGCGGGGCGGTTTTGGCAGGTTTGGGGTGGATTTGGGTGGGTTTGGGGAGGATTTTAGGGGATTTCAGGGGGATTTTGGGGTGGTTTGGGGGATTTGGGGAGTTTGGAGGGGATTTGGGGGGCGGTTGGGGTTTTGGGGGGTTTTGGGGGGTTTTGAGGGCATTTGGGCGCCGTGCCCGCGATGTTCCGGGTGCTGCCCACACCCAGACCGTGAGCGGCCAGCGCTGCCCTGGAGGCAGAATTTGAGGGGTTTTGGGGGGGAATTTGGGGTTTTTTGGTTTTTTGGGGGGAGTTTTGGGGGTTTTTGGGGGTTTCTGGGGGCATTTGAGGGCGTTCTGGATGCGGATTTCGGGGGAGATGCGGGGCGGTTTCGGCAGGTTTGGGATGGATTTGGGTGGGTTTGGGGAGGATTTCAGAGAATTTCGGGGGGATTTTGGGGTGGTTTGGGGAATTTGGGGGGTTTGGAGGGGATTTAGGGGAGGGTTCAGGGGTTTTTGGGGGGAATTTAGGGGGTTTTGGGGGCATTTGGGCTCTGTGCCCGGAATGTTCCGGGTGCCGCCCGCGCCCGGCCCGTGAGCGGCCAGGGCTGCCCTGGAGGGGAATTCGGGGGGTTTTGGGGGTTTGGGGGAAAATTCAGGGCTTTTGGGTGGATTTAGTGGGAATTTAGGGGTTTTTGGGGCGGATTTTGGGGCAGATGTGGGGTGGTTTCGGGAGGTTTGGGCTGGATTTGGGTGGATTTGGGGTGAATTTGGGGAGGTTTTGGGGATTTTGGGAGGGATTTGTGGAGGTTTTGGGACGTTTGGGAAGGGATTTGGGAGAGATTTGGGGTGATTTGGGGAGGATCTCGGGGGGTTTAGAGGGGATTTGGGGAGGATTTCGGGGGGATGTGAGGAAGGATTTAGGGAGGTTTGGGGCAGATTGGGGGGAATTTGAGGCAGTTTCTGTGAGTTTTGGGGGATTTCAGGGGGTTTTGGGGCAGATTTGGGGGGGCTTTGGAAGGGTTTGGAGAGGTTTCAGGAGGATTTGAGGGGCTTTTTAGGGGTTTTGGGGGGGATTTAGGGGATTTCAGGAGGATTTCACAGGGTTTTGGGGGGATTTTGGGGGGGTTTAAGGGGTATTGGAGGCATTTGAGGGGCTTTTGGGGGGAATTTAGGGGTTTTTGGGGCGGATTTCTGGGGAGATATGAGGTGGTTTTGGGAGATTTGGGTGGGCTTGGGGTGGGTTCAGGAGGTTTGGGGTGAATTTCAGGGGATTTGGGGTGGATTTCAGGGTGTTTGGGGGAATTTAGGGAGGGTTTGGGGCTTTTGGGGTGATTTGGGGAAGTTTTGGGATCTTTGGGAAGGGATTTGGGGGCGATTTGGGGAGGATCTCGGGGGCTTTAGAGGGGATTTGGGGGGATTTTGGGGGGATTTGAGGAAGGATTTGGAGAGGTTTGGGGGGATTTGGGGGGATTTGGGGAAGTTTCAGGGGATCAGAGGAAGTTTGGAGGGGATTTTTGGGGAAATTTCAGGGGATTTTGGGGAAAATTCAGGGGATTTGGGGGGATTTCAGGGAATTTAAGGGAATTTCGGGGTTATTTCAGGGGATACTTCAGGGGGTTTGGGGGAATTTAAGGGGATTTTGGGGCTATTTCAGGGGATTTCAGGGGATTTGGGAGGATTTAAAGAAATTGTGGGAAAATTGAAGGGGATTTTGGGGAAATTTCGGGGCATTTCAGGAAATTTCAGGGTATTTCAGGGAATTTCGGGGGATTACGGGGCTATTTCAGGGGATTTCAAAGGATTTGGGAGGATTTAAGGAAATTGTGGGGAAATTTCAGGGGATTTTGAGGATATTTCAGGGAATTTCAGGGCTATTTCAGGGGATATTTCAGGAATTTCAGGAGATTTTGGGCGATTTCAGGGATATTTCAGAGGATATTTCAGGGAATTTAAGGGGAATTTTGAGGATTTCGGGGCTATTTAAGGGAATTTCAGAGAATTTCAGAGGATTTTGGGGTCATTTCAGAGGATATTTCAGGGGATTTTGGGGTTATTTAATGGATTTCAGGGGATTTAAGGGAATTTTGGGGAAATTTCAGGGGATTTCAGGGAATTTCAGGGGATTTTGGGGCTATTTTGGAGTATTTCGGGGCCATTTTTAGGGATTTCGGGGCTATTTCAGGGGATTTGGGGGCTATTTAAGGGGATTTCAGGGGATTTAAGGGAATTTTGGGGAAAATTCGGGGGATTTTGGGGAAATTTCAGGGGATTTCAGGGAATTTCAGGGGATTTTGGGGCTATTTTGGAGTATTTTGGGGCCATTTTGAGGGATTTCGGGGCTATTTCAGGGGATTTGGGGGCTATTTAAGGGGATTTCAGGGGATTTAAGGGAATTTTGGGGAAAATTTGGGGGATTTTGGGGAAATTTCAGGGGATTTCAGGGGATTTTGGGGCTATTTTGGGGCCATTTTTAGGGATTTCGGGGCTATTTCAGGGGATTTGGGGGCTATTTAAGGGGATTTCAGGGGATTTAAGGACATTTTGGGGAAAATTCAGGGGAGTTCAGGTGATTTTGGGGGTATTTCGGGGCCGTTTCGCGGGATTTCGGGGCTGTTTCAGGGGATTTTGGGGCTATTTAAGGGGATTTCAGGCGATTTTGGGTCTATTTTGGGGCATTTCGGGGCCATTTTGAGGGATTTCGGGGCTATTTCAGGGGATTTGGGGGCTATTTAAGGGGATTTCAGGCGATTTTGGGTCTATTTTGGGGTATTTCGGGGCCATTTCGAGGGATTTCGGGGTTGTTTCAGGGGATATTTCAGGGGATTTTGGGGCTATTTAAGGGGATTTCAGGTGATTTTGGGGGACATTTTGGGGAAAATTCAGGGGATTTCAGGTGATTTTGGGGGTATTTCGGGGCAATTTCGCGGGATTTCGGGGCTGTTTCAGGGGATTTTGGGGCTATTTAGGGGGATTTCAGGCGATTTTGTGTCTATTTTGGGGTATTTCGGGGCCATTTCGCGGGATTTCGGGGCTGTTTCAGGGGATTTGGGGGCTATTTCAGGGGATTTCAGACGATTTTGGGTCTATTTTGGGGTATTTTGGGGCCATTACACGGGATTTCGGGGCTGTTTCAGGGGATTTTGGGGCTATTTAAGGGGATTTCAGGCGATTTTGGGTCTATTTTGGGGCATTTCGGGGCTGTTTCAGGGGATTTTGAAGGAATCGCGGGGGATTTGGGGTGTCCCGGTTTCGGGGTGCCCACCTGGCTGCCCGCAGCACCTCGGGGTGCCGGCTCATGCCCAGGTAATCGTTGGAGCACCAGAGCTGCACCAGGCGCGGGGGGGACCCCAAAAAGGCGCTCGGGGGGTGCCGCGCCCGCCGCGCCAGCGCCGTGAACTCGCGGTACGTGTGGGAGCGGCGCAGCCCCGCCAGGCGCGCCCCCAAAACCGCCTCGTACGGGAAGGCGTCCTCTGGGGAACCCCAAAAACCCCACAGAGACCCCAAATCAGGCCGCCCCCAAAACCGCCTTGTACGGGAAGGCGTCCTCTGGGGAACCCCAAAAACAAACCCGTGGCTAAAAGGGAACCCCAAAAACCCCGAGCCTAAAACAGCCCAAAAGCGTACCCCAAAACTGCACCCAAAACCCTCCGGAGACCCCAAAACTGCACCCAAAACCCCCCGGAGACCCCAAAACTGCACCCCAAAACAGCGCCCCAAATTCTTACAGAGACCCCCAAAATTGTGCCCCAAAACCCTCCAGAAACCCTAAAACTGCACCCCAAAACCGCACCCAAAACCCTCCGGACACCCCAAAACTGTGCCCCAAAATCCTACAGAGATCCCAAAACTGCACCCCAAAACAGCACCCCAAATTCTTCCAGATAACCCCAAAACTGCACCCAAACCCCTCCGGAGACCCCAAAACCGCTCTCCAAAATGCTACAGAGACCCCAAAACTGCACCCCAAAACTGCACCCAAAACCCTCCGGAGACCCCAAAACTGTGCCCCAAAACCCTCCGGAGACCCCAAAACTCCACCCCAAAACCCTCCTGAGCCCCCTCCAAAATCCCCCAAAATCCCCCAAAACCCCCCAAAACCCACTTGAAGCTCCCCAAATTGCCCCCAAAATCCCCAAACCCTCCCCAAAATCCCCCCAAATTCTCCTAAAATCCCCCAAAACCCCCAAACCCCCCAAAATCCCCCAAACCCCCAAAATCCCCCCAAAATCCCTCAAACCCCCCAAATCCCCCCAAACCCCCAAATCCTCCCCAAAATCCCCCCAAACCCCCCCAAATCCCCCCCAAATCCCCCGAACCCCCCAAATCCCCCCTAAACCCCCCAAATCCTCCCCAAAATCACCCCAAAATCCCCCCAAATTCCCTTAAAATCCACCCAAACCCCCCAAATCCTCCCCAAAATCCCTCAAATCCCCCAAATCCTCCCCAAAATCCCCCCAAATTCCCCCCAAATCCTCCCCAAAATTCCCTAAATCCTCCCCAAAATCCGCCCAAACCCCCCAAATCCTCCCCAAACCCCCCCCAAATCCCCCCAAATCCTCCCCAAAATCCCTCAAATCCCCCAAATCCTCCCCAAAATCCCCCCAAACCGCCCAAATCCTCCCCAAAATCCCCCAAATCCCCCCAAATCCTCCCCAAAATCCCCCAAACCCTCCCCAAAATCTCCCCCAAATCCCCCAAATCCCCCAAATCCCCCCAATCCCCCCAAAATCCCCCAAATCACCCCAAATCCCCCCCAAATCCCCCCCAAATCCCCCCACCCCCTCACCGGGCAGGTTCTCCTCCAGCCGCCTCTCGGGGGGCTCCTCGGGGGGGTCCCCCAAATCCAGCAGCCAATCCAGCGGCTCTGGGGGGGGCAGAGCTCGTTGGGGGGGGGTCCCCGATATTGGGGGGGGGTTTGGGGGGTTTTGGGGGGGTCCCCAAAATTCTCACCCTCCTCGGGGGGGGCCACGTCCTCCTGCAGCTCCGGGGCCGCGCGCAGCACCAGGGGCGGCCCCTCCCCCCCCTGCGCCCCCAAAAACGGGCACGGGGACCCCTCGGGGGGGTCACCTGAAATGGGGGGGCAGGGGGGGTCAGCACCCCGAAATGATCCCCAAAAAAATCAGCCCAAAGAACCCCAAAATCAGCCCAAAGAACCCCAAAATCAGCCCAAAAAAACCCCAAATCTGTCCAAAAAAACCCACAAAATCTGTCCAAAAAAAACCCAAATCTGCCCAAAAATCCCAAAATCAGACCAAATAATCCCAAAACCAGCCCTGAAAAACCCAAAATCACAAAAAAAAAACCCCAAATCAGCCCTGAAAAACCCAAATCAGCCGAAAAAAACCCAAATCAGCTCAAAAATCCTAAAATCGGCCCAAAAAAAACCCAAATCAGCCAAAAAAAAACCAAAATCAGCCCAAATAACCCCAAAATGCGTCCAAAAACCTCAAAATCTACCCAAAAAAACCCAAAACATCCCCAAAACCCCAAATCTGCCCTAAAAAAATCCCAAAATCAGACCAAATAATCCCAAAACCAGCCCTGAAAAATCTAAAATCGCCCCAAAAAAACCCAAATCAGCCAAAAAAAAAAAACCAAATCAGCTCAAAAAACCCTAAAATTGGCCCAAGAAAACCACCCCAAATCAGCCAAAAAAACCCCAAAATCACACAAAAAACCCCAAATCAGCCAAAAAACCCCAAATCAGCTGAAAAAAACCCAATTCAGCTCAAAAAACCCTAAATTCGGCCCAAAAAACCCCAAATCAGCCAAAAAAAATCAGCAAAAATCCCCAAAATAATTCCAAAAATTCCACAAAATCTCACAAAATCTCCCACAAAATCCCCCAAAATCAGCAAAAATCCCCAAAATCACCCCAAAAATCCCCCAAAATCAGCAAAAATCCCCAAAATCACCCCAAAAATCCCCCAAAATCGCACAAAATCTCCCACAAAATCCCCCAAAATCCTCCAAAATCCCCCCAACCCCCCCCCCCAAAAATCGCCCTAAATCCCCCAAAATCACCCCGAAAATTCCCAAAAATTCCCCAAAATCCCCCCAAATCCCCCCCGAACTCCCCCAAAAACCAGCAGGGGGTGGGGGGGGGGGGTTCAGGGGGATCCCCAATTTTGGGGTGGGGGTACCGGGGTGGGGTCGGGGGGATCCCCGAATTTGGGGGGGGTCCCGAATTTGGGGTCGGGGGGTGGCCGGTTTGGGGTCAGGGGGACCCCCAGTTTTGGGGTGGGGGCGTTGCCGAATTTGGGGTCGGGGGGGTCCCCAATTTTGGGTCAGGGGGTACCGGGGTGGGGTCAGCGGGATCCCGAATTTGGGGTCAGGGGGGTCCCAAATTTTGGGTCAGGGGGGTCCCGAATTTGGTCGGGGGGATCCCCCAATTCGGGGCCGGGGGTTCCCCTTAGTTTGGGGTCGGGGGGGGTCCCGATTTTGGGGTCAGGGGGGACCGGGGTGGGGGCGGGGGGGATCCCCGAATTTGGGGGGGATCCCAATTTGGGGTCGGGGGATGTCCGGTTTGGGGTCACGGTCTCCTCAATTTGGGGTCGGGGCGTTGCCGAATTTGGGGTCAGGGTCTCCCCAATTTTGGGGTCGAGGATTCCCCAATTTTGGGGTGTGGGGTTCCCCAATTTGGGGTCAGGGGGGACCGGGGTGGGGGCGGGGGGGATCCCCAATTTTGGGGTCGGGGGATCCTCGAATTTGGGGTGGGACCGGGGTGGGGCCGGGGGGGGGTTCCCTAAATTTTGGGGGGGTAGCGGGGTAGGGTCGGGGGGATCCCCGAATTTGGGGTACCGGGGTGGGGTCAGAGGGGTCTCCCCGATTTTGGGGTGGGGGCTCCCCAGATTTGGGGGTACCGGGGGGGGGATCCCCAGATTTGGGGTCGGGGGATACCGGGGGGGGGTCAGAGGGGTCTCCCCGATTTTGGGGTGGGGGGCTCCCCAGATTTGGGGTACCGGGGTGGGGGCGGGGGGATCCCCAGATTTGGGGTACCGGGAGGGGGTTCAGAGGGGGATCCCCGATTTTGGGGTCGGGGCTCCCCAGATTTGGGGTACTGGGGGGGGTCAGAGGGGTCTCCCCGATTTTGGGTCGGGGGTCTCCCCGATTTTGGGGTGGGGGTCTCCCCAGATTTGGGGTACCGGGGTCGGGGGATCCCCGAATTTGGGGTCGGGGGGATACCGGGGTGGGGTCAGAGGGGTCTCCCCTGTTTTGGGGGTACCGGGGTGGGGTCAGAGGGGTCTCCCCGATTTTGGGGCGGGGGTCTCCCCGATTTTGGGGTACCGGGGTGGGGGCGGGGCGGGGCCGTGCTCAGCGCCCGCAGCAGCCGCGGGTGCCGGGCCAGGACGGGGCAGCGCAGCAGAGCGGCCATGGGGGGCTGGGGGGGCAAAAAAAGGGGGTTCAGGGGGGGTCCTGCACCCCAAAAACCCCAACGACCCCCCCCAAAAAAACCCCAAATCCATCGCGTCATCCTCACCCCCCGCACCGCCCCAAAATCCGCCCAAATCTCCCCAAATCCTCCCCCCAAAATCGCTGAGAGGGGATAAAAAATGGGGGGTCAGGGGGGTCCTGCACCCCAAACCCCCCCTGGGCCCCCCAAAAATCCCCCCGGGACCCCAAACCCCTCCACGGACCCCCCAAAAATCCCCCTAAGTCCCCCCCAAAAATCCTCCCGGGACCCCAAACCCCTCCACGGACCCCCAAAAATCGCCCCGGGACCCCAAAACCCCCCAGGACCCCCACAAAAATCCCCCCAGGACCCTCAAACCCCCCAGGACCCCCCAAAACTTCACTGAGACCCCCCAAAACCCCCCAAGGAGCCCCAAAAATCCCCCCGAGACTCCCTCAACCCCCTCCAGGACCCCCCAAAAATCCCCCCAGGACCCCAAAACTTCCCCAGGACCCCCAAAAAACCCACCAAGGACCCCTCAAAAATCCCTCCAGGACCCCAAAACCACCCAAGGACCCCCAAAAATACCCCTAGGACCCCCCAAAACCCCTCCCAGGACCCCAAAACCTTCCCAGAAACCCCCAAAAAATCCTCCCAGGACCCCAAAACGCCCCCAGGACCCCCCAAAAACCCCCCAGGACCCCCCAAACAGCCCCAAAACCCCCCAAAATTCCCCTTTAGACCCCCCCCAAACCCCCAGAACCCCAAAAACCACCCTGGGACCCCCAAACCCCCCCCAGGACCCCAAATCCGCCCCTCCCCCAGCCCCACCCAGACGCCGCCGCCCCATTTTTGGGGTTTTCGGGGTTTTTGGGGTGGGTGTGGCCCCTCCCCCCCTTATCAGCCCCCGACACCTGGAGCGGGCCGGTCACGTGACCCCGGGCAGGGAGGGAATTTGGGGTGACCCAACCCCCACCCCGACCCCAAAACCCCAAAAAAACCCCCAGAAAACCCCAACACCCCCCCCAAAAAAAACCCCCCAAAATTCCCCAAAAACCCGCCCAAAAATTCCCCCAAAAGTCCCCCAGAAACCACCTCAAAACCCCAAAACACCCCCAAAAACCCAAAACACCCCCAAAAACCCAAAACACCCCCAAAACCTCCCAAAACGCCCTAAAAAACCAAAATTCCGCCCAAAAATTCCCCCAAAAACCCCAAAAGCCCCCCCAAAACAACCCCGAAATCTCGAAAAAACCCAAATAAACCTGAAAAAAACCCCCAAAACCCGCCCAAAAACCAAACCACCCCAAAACCCCCTAAAAAAAAGGCAAAAAAACCCCAAAACCCCAAAAGTCCTCCAAAAACCACCCCAAAACCCCCAAAATCCCCCCAAAATCCTCCCAAATCCCATAAAAATTCACCCAAAATCCCCTAAAAATCCCCTAAAAATCCCCCAAAACTCTGTCATAATCCCCCAAAATCCCCCCAAAATATCCCAAAAAGCCGCCAAAATCCTCCAAAATACCCCAAAATACCCCCAAAATCCCCCAAATCCCCAAAAATCCCCCAAAGTCCCTCCAAAATCCCAAAACTGCCCCCAAAGTCCCACCAAAGTCCCCCCAAAATTCCCCCAAATCCCCCAAAACCCCCCAAAATCCCCCAAAATCCCCTAAAAATCCCCCAAATCCCCCCAAAATCCCCCAAAATCCCCCCAAATCCCCCAAAATCCCCCAAAATCCCCCAAAATCCCCTAAACATCCCCCAAAATCCCCCAAAATCCCCCCAAATCCCCCAAAATCCCCTAAAACCCCCCAAAATTCCCCAAAATCCCCCCAAATCCCCCCAAATCCCCCAAAATCCCCTAAACATCCCCCAAAATCCCCCAAAATTCCCCAAAATCCCCCAAAATCCCCCCAAATCCCCCCAAATCCCCCCTCCCTCACCGTTGTCCTGCGCTGAGGACGAACTGAGCCCCCCCAAACCGGGGCCCCCCCAAAACCCCGATAAACTCGGGGGGCGGGGCGGGGGGCGGGGCTTGGGCGCGGAGGCTCCGCCCACAGCCACGCCCACCCCCCCGAACCCCAAAACTGCGCAGAATGCCCCAAAATCCCCCAAAACCTCCTGCGCCCTCTGAGCCCCCCAAAAATCCCCCAAACCCCCCAAAATCCCCCAAAGCCCCCCGAGCTCCCCCAAATCCCCTGAACCCCAAAACCTCAAAAACCCCCAAACCCCCAAATCCCCAAAATCCCCCCAAAAAACCCAAATCCCTGAATTCCCCAAAAATCCCCCAAAACCCCAAAATCCCACCAAAATCCCCCAAACCCCTCAAACCCCCAAACACCCCGAACCCCAAAACCTCAAAAAAACCCCAAAATTCCTGATCCCCCCCAAATCCCCCTGAGCTCCCTTAAAACCCCCCCAAACCCCCCCAAAAAACCCAAAAAACCCCAAATCCCCCTAAACTCCCCCCCAAAAATCCCAAATCCCCCCAAACCCCCGAAACCCCAAACCCCCCCAAACCCCCCCAAAAAAACCCAAAAACCCCCAAATCCCCCTAAACCCCCCCAAAAACCCCAAATCCCCCTAAACCCCCCCAAAAAAACCAAATCCCCCTAAACCCCCCCAAAACTCCCCCAAACCCCCGCGGCAATGGAGGGGCGTGGCCAACGCGGTGGGCGTGGCCAACTCCCCTCTGTGGGCGTGGCTGAGCTGTTGCCAGGCAACAAAGGCGGGGCAGCGTTGTGGGCGTGGTCTCCTGTGGATGGGCGTGGCTTGGGGCGTGGCCTGACGTGGGGGCGTGGCCTGTGCTGAAAGTGGGCGTGGCCTGTGTTGATTTTGGGGGGCTTTTTGTTGTTTGGGGGGATTTGGGGTTTGGGGGGATTTGGGGTTTTTTTGGGGTTTTTTGGGGGGTTTGGGGGGGTTTGGGGTTTCGGGGGTTTGAGGGGGATTTGGGGTTTTGGGGTTGGGGGTTTTCGGGTTTTGGGGTGATTTGGGGTTGGGGTGTTTTGGGGTTTTTGGGGGGTTTTGGGGTTGGGGGTTTTGGGGTTTGGGGTGATTTGGGGTTTTTGGGGGGTTTTGGGGTGATTTGGGGTTTTCGGGTTTTGGGGGGATTTGGGCTTTGGGGTGATTTGGGGTTTGGGGTGTTTTGGGGTTTTTGGGGGGTTTTCGGGTTTTGGGGTGATTTGGGGTTTGGGGTGATTTGGGGTTTTTGGGGGGTTTTCGGGTTTTGGGGGGATTTGGGGTTTTGGGGTGTTTTGGGGTTTTTGGGGGGTTTTCGGTTTTGGGGGGATTTGGGGTTTTGGGCGGATTTGGGTTTTGGGGTAATTTGTGGTTTTGGGGGGTTTTGGGGTTGGGGGTTTTGGGGTTTGGGGGGGATTTGGGGTTTGGGGTGATTTGGGGTTTTGGGGTTGGGGGTTTTTGGGTTTTGGGGGGGATTTGGGGTTTGGGGTGTTTTGGGGTTTTTGGGGGGTTTTCGGGTTTTGGGGGAATTTGGGGTTTTGGGGGGATTTGGGGTTTGGTGTGTTTTGGGGTTTTTGGGGGGTTTTGGGGTTGGGGGTTTTGGGGTTTGGGGGGGATTTGGGGTTTGGGGTGATTTGGAGATGTGGGAGGGATTTGGGGTTTTTCGGGGCTCGGAGGTTTTGGGGGGATTTGGGGTTTGGGGTGATTTGGGGGGATTTGGGGTTTTGGGGTCGGGGGTTTTCGGGTTTGGGGGGATTTGGGGTTTGGGGGGATTTGGGGTTTTTGGGGGGTTTTGGGGTGATTTGGGGTTTTCGGGTTTTGGGGGGATTTGGGATTTGGGGTGATTTGGGGTTTGGGGTGTTTTGGGGTTTTTGGGGGGTTTTCGGGTTTTGGGGTGATTTGGGGTTTGGGGTGATTTGGGGTTTTTGGGGGGTTTTCGGGTTTTGGGGTGATTTGGGGTTGGGGTGTTTTGGGGTTGGGGGTTTTGGGGTTTGGGGGGATTTGGGGTTTGAGGTGATTTGGGGTTTTTTTGGGGTTTTGGGGTTTTTGGGGGGTTTTGGGGTTGGGGGTTTTCGGGTTTGGGGGGGATTTGGGGTTTGGGGTGATTTGAGGGTTTTGGGGGGTTTTGGGGTTGGGGGTTTTCGGGTTTTGGGGTGATTTGGGGTTTGGTGTGTTTTGGGATTTTTGGGGGGTTTTGGGGTTGGGGGTTTTCGGGTTTTGGGGGGATTTAGGGTTTTTGGGGAGTTTTGGGGTGATTTGGGGTTTTCAGGTTTTGGGGGAATTTGGGGTTTGGGGTGATTTGGGATTTTTGGGGGGTTTTCGGGTTTTGGGGGGATTTGGGGTTTTGGGGGGATTTGGGGTTTGGTGTGTTTTGGGATTTTTGGGGGGTTTTGGGGTTGGGGGTTTTCGGGTTTTGGGGGGATTTGGGGGTTGGGGTGATTTGGGATTTTTGGGGGGTTTTCGGGTTTTTCGGGGCTCGGAGGTTTTGGGGGGATTTGGGGTTTGGGGTGATTTGGGGTTTGGGGTGATTTGGGGTTTTGGAGTGATTTGGGGTGATTTGGGGTTTTGGGAAGCTTTGATGTTTTGGTGGCGCTTTGGGGTTTTGGGGTTTCGGGGGGTTTTGAGGTTTTGGGGCGCTCTGGGGTTTTATGGGGCTCGGGGATTTTGGGGGCGCTTTGAGGTTTTTGGGGCCCTTTGTGGTTTTGGGGGGGCATTTTGGGGTTTTGGGAGACTCTGGGGTTTGGGGGGAGCGCTTTGATCCCCAAAATTCCCCCAAACCCCCCCAAATCCCCCAAATCGTTGGGAGGGCACAGCACGGGGGGGGTCGGGGCGGCATTTTTGGGGTGTCCCTGTCCCCCCCCCCCCGTTCCCAATTTTGGGGCTCCCCATTGGAGACTTTGGGGTTCCCCTTTACGAATTTTAGGGCGCCCCAAGACCAGATTTTGGGGTGCCCCATTGCCGTATTTTGGGGTTCATGATGGATTTTGGGGTGCCCCCTGAGGGATTTTGGGGTTCTCCACGTGGTTATGGGGGTGCTGGGGGTGCTGTGGGGGGTTATGGGGGGGGTTATGGGTGCTGTGGGTGCTGTGGGTGCTGTGGGGGGTTATGGGTGGGGGGTTATGGGTGCTGTGGGTGCTATGGGTGCTATGGGGGGTTATGGGTGCTGTGGGTGCTGTGGGTGCTGTGGGGGGTTATGGGTGGGGGGTTATGGGTGCTGTGGGTGCTGTGGGGGGTTATGGGTGAGGGGTTATGGGTGCTGTGGGTGCTGTGGGGGGTTATGGGGGTGCTGTGGGTGCTGTGGGTGCTGTGGGGGGTTATGGGGGGGGGTTATGGGGGTGCTGTGGGTGCTGTGATGGGTGCTGTGGGTGCTGTGGGTGCTGTGGGGGGTTATGGGGGTGCTGTGGGTGCTATGGGGGGGGTTATGTGGGTGCTGTGGGTGCTGTGGGGGGTTATGGGTGCTGTGGGTGCTGTGGGTGCTGTGGGGGGTTATGGGTGGGGGTTTATGGGTGCCGTGGGTGCTATGGGGGTTTATGGGTACTGTGGGTGCTGTGGGGGGTTATGGGGGGGGTTATGGGGGTGCTGTGGGTGCTGTGGGTGCTGTGGGTGCTGTGGTGGGTTATGGGTACTGTGGGTGCTATGGGGGGGTTATGGGGGGGTTATGGGTGCTATGGGGGTCCTGTGGGTGCTGTGGGTGCTATGAGGGGGGGGCGGGGCCGCCGGTTCCCGGGGGACCCCGGAACCTCCCGGAACCCCCCGGGGCCGCCGTTGTTCCCGGGGGGACCCGGAACGCGGCGGGGCCTCCGCCCCCCCCAACATGGCGGCGCCCAGCCCGGCACGCGACCGCGCGCGCCGCCTCCCCGCGCGCTGATTGGCCGAGCGCCCGCCCCGCGCCGGCCGCCGATTGGTCGGGGCGAGGATCACGTGGTCGCCAGGAAGGTCGGGGCGGTTGTTGTGGCAACGGGGGCGGGGCTAAAGGGGCGGCGGGGTCACGTGAGCGGCGCGAGGCAGGGGGCGACTTCCGGGAGAGAAACGGGACCGAACTGGGACAAACTGGGACTGAACTGGGGTAACTGGGAACGAACTGGGACAAACTGGGAGAGACTGGGAGCGAACTGGGACCGAACTGGGGTAACTGGGACCGAACTGGGGTAACTGGGAGAGACTGGGACCGAACTGGGGTAACTGGGACCGAACTGGGATTGAACTGGGAGCAAACTGGGGTAACTGGGAGCAAACTGGGAACAAACTGGGGTAATTGGGATTCAACTGGGACCGAACTGGGATTGAACTGGAGTAATTGGGAGCGAACTGGGATAACTGGGACTGAACTGCGATTGACCTGGGGTAACTGGGACTGAACTGGGGTAACTGGGATTGAACTGGGATAACTGGGAGTGAACTGGGACTGAACTGGTGTAACTGGGGCTGTACTGGTGTTACTGGTTCCCTACTCAAGTCCCCGGTGTATCCCCGGTGTATCCCCGGTGTGTCCCTGTTATCCCCGCAGTGTCCCGGTGTATCCCCGGTGTGTCCTGGTGTATCCCCGGTGTATCCCCGGTGTGTCCCTGTTATCCCCGGTGTGTCCCGGTGCTGACCCCGTTCCCGTCTGTGCGCACAGCCAGGATCCCGGTCGCCGTTTGGGAGTCCCGGTGCTGTCCCGGTGCCGTGCCGCTGTCCCGGTTTCCCGATGCCGCTGCCGGTGGCGCTGCAGTCCCGTCTGGCCAAGCGGGGACTGCTAAAGCACGTGGAGCCCGGTGAGGGGGGCGGGGCGGGGGCGGGATTGGGGGCGGGGCTGTGGAGAAATGGGCGGGGTTACAGAGAAATGGGCGGGGTTACAGAGAACCGGGCGGGGTTATAGAGAAATGGGCGGGGTTACAGAGAAATGGGCGGAGCTATGGAAAAAAGGGTGGGGTTAGTGATAAATAGGCGGGGTTAGAGAGAAATGGGCGGGGCTAGGGAGAAATGGGCGGGGCTATGGAGAAATGGGCGGGGTTGGTTAGGGAGAAATGGGCGTGGTTACAGAGAAATGAGCGGGGCTATGGAGAAATGGGCGTGGTTACAGAGAAATGGGCGGGGTTAGGGAGAAATGGGCGTGACTAGTAATAAATGGGTGGGGTTATGGAGAAATGGGTGGGGTTAGTGATAAATAGGCGGGGTCAGGGATAAATGGGCGGGGTTAGTGATAAATAGGCGGGGTCAGGGAGAAATGGGCGGGGCCAGGGGCACTGGGTGTGGCAGTGGGCGTGGCCAGGCTGACGGCCCCGCCCAGAGCCCGAGGAGGAGATCATCGCTGAGGACTACGACGATGCCCACGTGGACTATGAGGCCTCGCGGCTCGAGGGGCTGATGCCGCCCTGGTACAAGGTCATCGACCCCACCTGGTGAGCCCCGCCCCCTGAGAGCCCCGCCCCCACCGGGAGCCACGCCCCCACCGAGAGCCCCGCCCCCACCTGGTGAGCCCCGCCCCCACCGAGAGCCCCGCCCCCCACCGAGAGCCTCGCCCCCACCGTGAGCCCCGCCCCCACCCTGAGCCCCACCCCCACTGTGAGCCCCGCCCCCAGACAGCCCCGCCCCCACCGTGAGCCCCGCCCCCACCGTGAGCCCCGCCCACCGATAGCCCCGCCCCCACCGTGAGCCCTGTGGGGTCCATAGGGCTCCCCTGGGCTCTATAGGGTCCTGATACGGCTCTATAGGGCCCACAGGGCCCCCTGGGCTCTGTAGGGCTCTCTCTGGGCTCTATAGGGTCCCTAGAGCCCCCAGGCCCTATAGGATCCATAGGGCTCCCCAGGCCCTATAGGATCCCCCCAGGCCCTATAGAGTGCCCCACACGGCTCTGTAGGGTCCACAGGGCGCCCCAGGCCCTATAGGATCCCCCCAGGCCCTATAGGATCCATAGGGCTCCCCAGGCCCTATAGGATCCCCCCAGGCCCTATAGGGTCCATAAGGCTCCCCAGGCCCTATAGGATCCCCCCAGGCCCTATAGGATCCATAGGGCTCCCCAGGCCCTATAGGATCCCCCCAGGCCCTATAGGGTCCATAAGGCTCCCCAGGCCCTATAGGATCCCCCCAGGCCTTATAGGTTGCCCCACACAGCTCTGTAGGGTCCATAGGGCCCCCCAGGCCCTATAGAGTGCCCCACACGGCTCTGTAGGGTCCATAGGGCCCCCCCAGGTCCTATAGGATCCATAGGGCCCCCCAGGCCCTATAGGATCCCCCCAGGCCCTATAGCATCCCTCCCCACAGCGGGCTGCCCTACTACTGGAACGTGGACACCGACCTGGTGTCGTGGCTGCCCCCCGGCGACCCCGGCGCCGCCCCCGCCCGCGCCGCCCGCAGGAACAAGGGGGGCACAGGTGGGTGCGGGACCCCAGACCCAAATCCCTGACACCCCAAAAACCCTGAGACCCCAAACCCTGACACCCCAAATCCTGAGACCCCAAACCTGCAGCCCCCCCAAACCCTGACACCCCAAATCCTGAGACACCAAACCCTGACACCCCAAACCCTGACACCCCAAACCCTGACAGAGCCCCCTGAGCCCCCCAAACCCTGAGATCCCAATTCCCTGAGACCCCAAAAACCCTGAGCCCCCAAATCCGGAGCCCCCTGAGCCCCCCCCAAATCCTGAGGCCCCAAACACTGAGCCCCCCCAAAACCCTGAGCCCCCCTGAAAACCCCGAGACCCCCCAAACCCCTGAACCCCCCAAATTCCCTCCGACCCTGAGTGCCCCAAACCCCAGAGCCCCCCCAAACCCCTGAGTGCCCCAAACCCCCCGAAAATCCCTGAGCCCCCCAAATCCCTCAGTCCCCCCCAAACCCCGGAGTCCCCCCCCACCCCTGGGGGCTCTCGGGGTCCCCCCAAGGCGCGGTGCCCCCCCAGAGGCTGAGGAGCCCCCCGAGAAGGAGGAGGCGCCGCGGGAGCGCCGCGGGCACCGGCGCGAGGAGCTGGCACCGTACCCCAAGGGCAAGAGAGGTGGGGCACCCCGGGATTGGGGGGCACCCCGGGATTTGGGGGGCACCCCGGGATTCGGGGGGTGCTCAGGGGATTTCCTGGGCTTTTGGGGGGGTACCCCGGGATTCTGGGGGGTTTGGGGGGATTTCCCAGGATTTTGGGGGTACCCCAGGATTCCGGGGTGCTCAGGGGTACCCCAGATTTCGGGGTGCCGGGGGGGTACCCCAGATTTGGGGTGCTGACCCCCCGTGCCCCCAGGCGGGCGCAAGGACGAGGAGCTGGACCCGATGGACCCCAGCGCCTACTCAGACGCGCCGCGGTACGGCCCCGACGAGTTTTGGGGTGCCCGGGGCGGGTTTTGGGGTGCCTGGGGTTTGGGGGGTTCTGGGGGGGGTTTCCTGGGATTTTGGGGGGTTCTGGGGGAGATTTCCTGGGATTTTGGGGGGTTTAAGGGGCGTTCCCTGGCATTTTGGGGGTTACCCTGGGGCTTTGTGGAGTACCCCGGTATTTTGGGGGGTTACCCCGGTATTTTGGGGAGGGTACCCCAAGATTTTGGAGGGGTACCTCAGTATTGTGGGGATTTTGGGGGGAAACCCCAGAATTTGGGGGGGGTACCCCGGTATTTCGGGGATTTTTTGGGGTGTACCCCGGGATTTTGGGGGTTTGGGGGGCTACCCCGGTATTTGGGGGTTTTCCCCTGGTATTTAGGGGGGTACCCCGGTATTTGGGGGGTGCCCCGGTATTTGGAGGATTTGGGGGGGCACCCCAGTATTTGGGGGGGGTACCCCGGTATTTTGGGGATTTTTTGGGGTGTACCCCGGGATTTTGAGGGTTTGGGGGGCTACCCCGGTATTTTGGGGTTTACCCCTGGTATTTAGGGGGGTACCCCGGTATTTGGGGGGTGCACCCCTGGTATTTAGGGGGGTACCCCGGTATTTGGGGGGTGCCCCGGTATTTGGAGGATTTGGGGGGCTACCCCGGTATTTGGGGGTTTACGCCCGGTATTTGGGGGATTTTCGGGGGTACCCCGGTATTTGGGGGGTTACCCCGGGATCTGGGGGGGTACCCCGGTATTTGGGGGGTACCCCGGTATTTGGGGGCGCCCCGGGATTTGGGGACCCCATCCCGCTGTCCCCGCAGGGGCTCGTGGTCCACGGGGCTGCCGAAGCGCAACGAGGCCAAGACGGGCGCGGACACGACGGCGGCGGGACCCCTGTTCCAGCAGCGGCCGTACCCCAGCCCCGGAGCCGTGCTGCGCGCCAACGCCGAGGCCTCGCGCGCCAAGGACTGAGCCCACGGGGCCGGAACGGGGGGCTGGAACGGGACACCGAAACGGGACCCCAAAATGGGACCCCAAAACGGGACCCCGGAACGGGATCCTGAAACGGGATCCCAAAACGGCACCCCGGAACGGGATCCCAAAACGGCACCCCAGAACGGCACCCTGGAACGGGACCCCGGAACGGGATCCTGGAACGGGACCCCAAAACGGGGCCCCGGAATGGGACCCCAGAACGGCACCCCAAAACAGGACCCCAAAACAGGACCCTGAATCGGGATCCCAAAACAGGACCCCAAAACGGCACCCCGGAACGGGACCCCGGAACGGGATCCCAAAACGGCACCCCGGAACGGGACCCCGGAACGGGATCCCAAAACAGGACCCCAAAACGGGACCCTGAAATGGGATCCCAAAACGGGACCCCAGAACGGGACCCTGAAATGGGACCCCGAAATGGCACCCCGAAACGGGACCCCAGAACAGCACCCCAAAACAGGACCCCGAAACGGGACCCCAAAACACGACCCCAGAACGGGACCCCGGAACGGGACCCGAAACGGGATCCCAAAACGGGGCCCCGGAACGGGATCCCGAAATGGGACCTGAAACGAGATCCCAAAACGGGACCCCGAAACGGCACCCAGAAACAGCACCCCAAAACACGACCCCAGAACGGGACCCCGAATGGCACCCCGGAATGGGACCCCAAAACAGGACCCCGAAACAACACCCCAAAACGGCACCCCAGAACGGGACCCCGGAATGGGACCCGAAACGGGATCCCAAAACGGCACCCCGGAATGGCACCCCAGAACGGGACCCTGAATGGCACCCCGGAACAGGACCCCGAAACGGCACCCCAAAACAGGACCCCAAAACGGGACCCTGAAACGGGATCCCAAAACAGGACCCCGGAACGGGACCCCGGAACAGGATCCCAAAATGGGACCCGAAACAGGATCCCAAAACGGGACCCCGAAACGGCACCCAGAAACAGCACCCCAAAACACGACCCCGGAACGGGACCCCAGAACGGCACCCCAAAACAGGACCCCAAAACGGGACCCTGGAACGGGACCCCAAAACGGGACCCTGAAACGGGACCCTGAAACGGGATCCCAAAACAGGACCCCGGAACGGCACCCCGGAACGGGACCCCAAATGGCACCCCGGAATGGGACCCCAGAACGGCACCCCAAAACGGGACCCCAAAACAGGACCCCAAAACGGCACCCCGGAACGGGACCCTGAAACGGGATCCCAAAACAGGACCCCAGAATGGCACCCCGGAACAGCACCCCAAAACAGGACCCCAAAACAGGACCCTGGAACGGGCCCCGGAACGGGATCCCAAAACGGGACCCTGAAATGGGACCCCGAAATGGCGCCCCGAAACGGGAACTTCAAAAATGGGAAACCTCAAAAGGGGGAACCTCAAAACCGAGAACCCCAAAATTCGCAACCCCAAAACCCGGGAACCCTAAAACCTGGAAACCCCAAAACTCGGGAACCCCAAAATGGGAACTTGAAAACCAGGGAATCCAAAAATGGGACTCCAAAAATGGGAACTTCAAAAACGGGACTCCAAAAACAGGAAACCTCAAAACTGAGAACCCCAAAACTCGCAACCCCAAAACCCGGGAACTCCAAAATGGGGAACCCAAAAACGGGGAACCCAAAATGAGATCCTGAAATGGGACCCCGAAATGGGGAACCCGAAATGGGAACTTCAAAAACGGGACTCCAAAAACGGGAAACCTCAAAACTGAGAACCCCAAAACTTGCAACCACAAAACCCGGGAACCCTAAAACCTGGAAATCCCAAAACCTGGGAACCCCAAAACTCGGGAACCCCAAAACGGGGAACCCCAAACGTGGCCACCCCAAAACCAGCAACCCCAAATCCGGGGAACCCCAAAACCAGGGACCCCTCAGCACCCCCCGTTTCTCAGGGGTTCCCCCAAAGTTCCGGGGAGCCCCCCAGGCTCAGGGGGACCCCCAAAGTTCAGGGTCCCCCCAAAACCCCCCCAGACCCTCCAATGTTGGGGTGCCCCAGTTTTGGGGTCCCCCCACTCCCCGTTCCTGCAATAAAGGCGTCGCAGCCCCGGGAGCGAGCGAGGGGCGTTTATTGGGGTGTTGCACACGCGCGTGTAAGGGGAGGGACCTTGTACACCCACCAGGGCCTTGCACACCCACGGGGGTCCTTGCACACCCACAGGGGGCCTTACACACCCACGGGGGACCTTGCACACCCACCAGGGCCTTGCACACCCATGGGGGGGTCCTTGCACACCCCCGTTTCAGGCAGCCATTCAGTCCAACAGGCGCAGCTGCCGCAGCTCCTCGCACGGCGGCTCTTGCACACCCATCCCCCGGGAGGATTCTTGCACACTCATCTCACACGGGGGTCTGTCCCCCTCACACGTGGCCCCTTGCACGCCCGGGCGGGGGTCCGGGCGGGGGTCCCGGCGCAGGCGGCAGGCGTGGCTGTAGGGGGGGGCGATGGGGGGCGCGGGGGGCGGCACGAAGCTGTAGGGCCGTGCGGGGTCCAGCTGGGGAGGGGCCGGGGAGCTCCCAGTATGGACCAGTATGGACCAGTATGGCCCCAGTGTTCCCCAGTATGGCCCCAGTGCTCCCAGTATGGACCAGTATGGCCCCAGTGCTCCCAGTATGGCCCCAGTGCCTCCCAGTATGGCCCCAGTGCTCCCAGTATGGCCCCAGTGCTCCCAGCATGGCCCCAGTGCCTCCCAATATGGCCCCAGTGCTTCCCAGTATGGCCCCAGTGCTTCCCAGTATGGCCCCAGTGCTTCCCAGTATGGCCCCAGTGCTCCCAGTATGGCCCAGTATGGACCAGTATGGCCCCAGTGCTCCCAGTATGGCCCCAGTGCTTCCCAGTATGGCCCCAGTGCTCCCAGTATGGACCAGTATGGCCCCAGTGTTCCCCAGTATGGCCCAGTCCCCCCCAGTCCCCTCCCAGTTCCCCCCCAGTCCCCCCCAGTCCCCCCCAGTCCCTCCCAGTCCCTCCCAGTTCCCTCCCAGTTCCCTCTCAGTCCCTCCCAGTTCCCTCCCAGTCCCCCCCAGTGCCCCCCAGTCCCTCCCAGTATAAACCAGTACCTGCAGGGAGTAGCTGCGGTCGGGGTCGAAGGCGCTCAGGTCCCCACAGGCCACGAAGGGAACGATGGCCCGGGAGGGGCCGGGGAGGGCGGCCAGGGACAGCCCTGGGCACCCCAAATCAGGGGGGCACCCCGAAATCAGGGGGACCCCAATCCATGGGACCCCAAAAATCCCACCAGGAACACCCAGATTCCCCCAGGAACCCCAACATTTCCCCAGGGACCCCCAAAATTCCCCCAGGGACTCCCCAAATCCCCCTCAGGGACCCCCAAAATGTCCCCAGACACCCCAAAATCCCATCAGGGACCTCAAAAATATCCCCAGACACCCCAAAATCCCCTCAGGGACCCCAAAACCTCCTCAAGGAACCCCAGAATCCCCCTCAGGGACCCCTTAAAATATCCCCAGACACCCCAAAATCCCCCCAGGGACCCCAACACCTCACCAGGGACCCCAAAACCTCCCCAAGGACCACCAGAATCTCCCTCAGGGACACCCAAAATTCCATCAGGGACCCCCAAAATCCCCCCAGACACCCCAAAGTCCCACCAGGAACGCCCAGAATCCCCCTCAGGGACCCCCAAAATGTCCTGAGAACCCAAAATCCCATCAGGGACCTCAAAAATGTCCCCAGAGACCCCAAAACCTCCTCAAGGAATCCAGAATCCCCCTCAGGGTCCCCAAAATATCCCCAGACACCCCAAAATCCCATCGAGAAACCCAAAACCTCCCCAAGGACCGCCAGAATCCCCCTCAGCGACCCCCAAAATTCCCCCAGGGACCCCCAAAACTCCATCAAGGACCCCCAAAATCCCCCCAGACACCCCAAAGTCCCACCAGGAATCCCCAGAATCCTCCCCAACGACCCCCCAAAATGTCCTGAGAACCCAAAATCCCATCAGGGACCTCAAAAATGTCCCCAGGGACCCCAAAACCTCCTCAGGGACCCCAGAATCCCCCTCAGGGACCCCAAAATATCCCCAGACACCCCAAAATCCCATCGAGGAACCCAAAACCTCCCCAAGGACCGCCAGATTTCCCCTCAGGGACCCCCAAAATTCCATCAAGGACCCCCCAAATCCCCCCAGACACCCCAAAGTCCCACCAGGAATCCCCAGAATTCTCCCCAACGACCCCCCAAAATGTCCTGAGAACCCAAAATCCCATCAGGGACCTCAAAAATGTCCCCAGACACCCCAAAATCCCATCAAGGAACCCAAAACCTCCCCAAGGACCGCCAGAATCGCCCTCAGGGACCCCCAAAATTCCCCCAGGGACCCCCAAAATCCCCCCAGGAAGCCCCAGAATGCCCCTCAGCAACGCCCAAAATGTCCTGAGACCCCAAAATTCCCCCAGACACCCCAAAGTCCCACCAGGAACCCCCAGAATCCCCCTCAGGGACCCCAGAATCCCCCTCAGGGACACCCAAAATTCCCCCAGGGACCCCAAAATCCCATCAGGGACCCCAGAATCCCCGCAGACACCCCAAAACCCCCGCAGTGCCCTCACCCGCCTCGGGCTCCAGCAGGGGGTTCTCCATGGTGGGCACGAAGCCCTCGGGGGGGCTGTAGCCACGGCACACCACGAAAGCCTCTGCCCAAAGAGGGGGTGGGGGGGGTCCCCCAAACTCAGGGGGGTCTCCCCGAAGCCCAGGGGGTCCCTGGGAGTTATTTTTTTGGGGGGGGGGTCCCACCGATGCTGGAGTTGCGGCTGCTGCGGGGCTTGGCGCAGGTGACGTCGGGGAAGAAGAGGCGCAGTTGGGAGTAGAGCAGGGTCACGTCCTTGCCACGGAAAATCTGGGGGGGCACGGGGGTCAGCACCCCCTTTTTGGGGCCACGGGGGTCAGCACCCCCGTTTTGGACCCCCCTCATTTGGGGGGGAGCCCCTCACCTTAGCCACGAAGGTGCCGCCTTTCTTCAGGACGTGGGTGGTGATGTTCAGTGCCTGGAGGAGGGGAGACCCCAAAAATTAAAATTTGGGGGGGGTCCCCACGGCACTGGGGGGGGTCCCCGGGTGGTTTTGGGGGGAGTTTTGGGGGGCTGGAGCCCCACACTTACTGCCAGCAGCAGCTGGGCCTGGATGTACTCGTCCAGGTCGTGCAGCCCCGTTACTGTGGGGGAGGTTTGGGGTCAGGGGGGTTTTTTGGGGTTTTTTTGGGGTTTTTTTTGGGGTTCAGGGCCCCCCCCAGGCTCAGCCCCCCCAGACTCACCGTCAGGGGCCCCGTCACAGACCACCAGGTCAGCGGGGTGCCCCTCGAAGTGGCGCTGGATCTCCTGGGCTGTGGAGGCCTGGGGGGCACAGGGGGCACAGGGGGCACGGGGTCAGGAGTGGGGCAGGGATGGGTCAGGAGTGGGTCAGGAGTGGGGCAGGAGTGGGGCAGGGATGGGGCAGGGGTGGGGCAGGAGTGGGGCAGGAGTGGGGCAGGAGTGGGGCAGGAGTGGGGCAGGAGTGGGGCAGGAGTGGGGCAGGGATGGGGCAGGAGTGGGTCAGGAGTGGGGCAGGAGTGGGGCAGGGATGGGTCAGGAGTGGGTCAGGAGTGGGGCAGGAGTGGGGCAGGGATGGGGCAGGGGTGGGGCAGGAGTGGGGCAGGAGTGGGGCAGGAGTGGGGCAGGGATGGGGCAGGGATGGGGCAGGGATGGGGCAGGAGTGGGGTTTTGGGGGGCTCAGGGGGTTTGGGGGCACTCAGAGGAGGGTTTGGGGGGCTCAGGGGGGTTTTGGGGGGCTCAGGGGGGTTATGGGGGGCTCAGAGGGGGTTTTGGGGGGCTCAGAGGGGGTTTGTGGAACTCAGGGGGGTTTTGGGGGGCTCAGGGGGGTTTTTGGGGGGCTCAGGGGAGGTTTTGGGGAGCTCAGGGGAGTTTTTGGGGGGCTCAGGGGGGGTTTGGGGGCACTCAGGGGGGTTTTGGGGGGCTCAGGGGGGTTTTGTGGAACTCAGGGGGGTTTTGGGGGCACTCAGGGGGGTTTTGGGGGGCTCAGAGGGGGTTTTGGGGGGCTCAGAGGGGGTTTGGGGGGCTCGGGGGGGTTCTGGGGGGCTCGGGGGGGTTTTGGGGGGCTCAGGGGAGGCTCTGGGGGCACTCAGGGGGTTATGGGGGGCTCGGGGAGGTTTTGGGGGGCTCAGAGGGGGTTTTGGGGAGCTCAGGGGAGGGTTTGGGGTGACTCAGGGAGGTTTTGGGGGGCTCAGGGGGGGTTTTGGGGGTCTCGGGGGGGTTTGGAGTCCCACCTTGGTGATGTCCCCCTGGATCTGCACCACCCCCGGCAGCGGCGCCATGGCCTGGAGATCCACGGCCACCACCTGGGCAGGGGAACCCTCGGAGCCCCTGCGGGCAGGGGGGTGGGCACGGGGACCCCCGGGACCCCCGGGACCCCCACCCAACCTCCCTGAGCCCCCCGGGACCCCCAGCCCAACCCCCCTGACCCCCCGGGACCCCCAACCCAACCTCCCTGAGCACCCCCAGGACCCCCAACCCAACCCCTCTGAGCCCCCCGGGACCCCCAACCCAACCTCCCTGAGCACCCCCAGGACCCCCAACCCAACCCCCCTGAGCCCCCCCAGTCCCAAACTGGGATTCCCAGTCCTCCCAGCTCACCCAGTGGGCAGTGCCAGTTCAGTCACATCCCAAAGCAGGATTCCCAGTGCCCCCAGTTTGGGGTTCCCAGTGCTCCCAGTGCTCCCAGTCCCAGCCTAGGACCCCCCCAAACCAGTGCCCCCAGTTTGGGGCTCCCAGTGCTCCCAGTGCTCCCAGTCCCACCTGAGGTGCCGACTCAGCACCTGGCTCCAGCTCCCGGGGGCTGCACAGAGATCCACGGCCCGCTGCACCCCTGGAACCAGTGACACCAGTGACACCAGTTAGCTACACCAGTGACACCAGTGACACCAGTTAGGTACACCAGTGACACCAGTTACACCAGTGACACCAGTTATACCAGTTAGGTACACCAGTTACACCAGTTACACAGTGATCCCAGACCCCTGGTGCCCAGTTACACCAGTTACACCAGTTAGGTACACCAGTGACACCAGTTACACCAGTGACACCAGTTACACCAGTTACACAGCGATCCCAGACCCCTGGGCCCAGTTACACCAGTGATCCCAGTCACACCGGTTACACCAGTGACACCAGTTTCACCAGTGTCCCCAGCGACTCCAGCGCTCCCCTTGCCCCCCTCACTTCCCCCCAGTTCTCCCAGTACCCCCATTCCCACAATCCCCCACTCTCCCCATTCCCCCCAGTTCCACCCATTCCCTCCCAGTTCCCCTTATTCCCCCATTTCCACATTCCCCAGTCCCCCCATTCCCCCCATTCCCCCATTACCCCAATTCCCCCATTGCCCCCAGTCCCCCCATTCCCCCAACTCCCCCATTGCCCCATTACCCCCAGTCCCCCCATTACCCCAATTCCCCCATTGCCCCCAGTCCCCCCATTACCCCAATTCCCCCATTGCCCCCAGTCCCCCCATTCCCCCATTACCCCCAGTCCCCCCATTACCCCACTGCCCCCATTACCCCCAGTCCCCCCATTACCCCACTCTCTCCATTCTCCTCAGCTCCCCAGTTCCCCCAGTCCCCCACTCCCCAGTCCCCCCAGTGCCCCCCAGTGCCCCCAGTGTCCCCAGTACCCTGCAGGAGCTGGAAGTGCTGCTCCAGCTGCAGCAGTTCGAAGGCGCTGCGTGCTCCCAGTGCTCCCAGTCCCCCCAGTGCCCCATTCCCCAGTTTCCCCAGTCCCCCCAGTGCCCCCAGTGCCCCCAGTACCCTGCAGGAGCTGGAAGCGCTGCTCCAGCTGCAGCAGTTTGAAGGTGCTGAACGCTCTCCAGTGCTCCCAGTGCTCCCAGTGCCCCATTCCCCAGTCCCCCCAGTCCCCCCAGTACCCTGCAGGATCTGGAAGCGCTGCTCCAGCTGCAGCAGTTTGAAGGCGCTGAACGCTCTCCAGTGCTCCCAGTGCTCCCAGTGCCCCCAATCCCCTACTCCCCAGTCCCCCCAGTCCCCCCAGTGCCCCCAGTGCCCCCAGTACCCTGCAGGATGTGGAAGCGCTGCTCCAGCTGTAGCAGTTTGAAGGCACTCCGCGCTCTCCAGCCGCCCTCCTTGGCCAGCCGGTAATACACGTCCCGCTTGTCCTTCGAGGAGCGGCCCATGGCTGGTACGGGCACCCCAAAACCTGCGGGGGCACCCCGAAAATGGGGACACCGTTAGTGGGGACACCCTATTAACGGGGACACCCCAAAACCTGCAGGGACACCCTATTAACAGGGACACCCCGAAACTTGAGGGGACACCCTGACACCTGAGGGGACACCCCGAAACCTGTGGGGACACCCCAAAATCTACCGGGGACACCTCGAAAATGGGGACACCGTAAGTGGGGACACCCTGAAACCTGTGGGAACACCCTATCAACAGGGACACCCTGAAACCTGCGGGGATGCCCCAAAACCTACTGGGGACACCCAAAAACCTATGGTGACACTGTTAGTGGGGACACACCGAAACCTGTGGGGATGCCCCAAAACCTACTGGGGACACCCCAAAACCTATGGTGACACTGTTAGTGGGGACACCCCAACACCTGCAGGGACACCCCAAAAACGGGGACACCGTTAGCGGGGACACCCCAAAACCTGCGGGGACACCCTAATCACAGGGACACCCCGAAACCAGCGGGGGGACACCCCAAACACGGGTACACCGTTAATGGGGGCACCCCATAAACAGGGGGAACCCCATAAACGGGGTAATCTCCAGAGTTCATCATTTGTGTGCCCCATTGTTTATTTATAACTTTTGCCATTTATTTGTGGGTTCTACTCTAAAAAAAACACTGTTTATATTGGGGGCACACCAAAATGGGGGGACCTCAGAGAGACCCACGAGGGCCCAGGGGCTGCTCAAACCACTCCAAACCCCTTAAATCCCATTAATTTAATTTAGGACGCGTTATTCCGGTGTTAAACCCACAAACCCTCACCCAGGGGCTGCTCAAACCACTCCAAACCCCTTAAATCCCATTAATTTCCCATTAATTTAGGACGCGTTATTTCGATGTTAAACCCAAACCCTCACCCAGGGGCTGCTCAAACCAGTAAAAGCCCTTAAACCCCATTAATTTAATTTAGGACGCGTTATTCCCATGTTAAACCCGATATCCACCACAAACCCTCACCCAGGGGCTGCTCAAACCACTCCAAACCCTTTAAATCCCATTAATTTATTTTAGGACGCGTTATTCCGATGTTAAACCCACAAACCCTCACGCAGGGGCTGTTGAATCCCGTTAATTTAATTTAGGACCCGATATTCCGATGTTAAACCCGCAAACCCTCACCCAGGGGCTGTTGAATCCCGTTAATTTAATTTAGGACCAGATATTCCTATGTTAAACCCGCAAACCCTCACCCAGGGGCTGTTGAATCCCGTTAATTTAATTTAGGACCCGATATTCCGATGTTAAACCCCACATTCACCATAAACGCTCACCCAGGGGCTGCTCAAACCACTCCAAACCCCTTAAATCCCATTAATTTAATTTAGGACGCGTTATTTCGATGTTAAACCCACAAACTCTCACCCAGGGGCTGCTCAAACTACTCCAAACCCCTTAAATCCCATTAATTTCCCATTAATTTGGGCCGCGTTATTTCGATGTTAAACCCCACAGAACCACAACCCCCCGCCCACCCACTGCGCATGCGCCGCCCCGGCCTCCCCCGCCCCCGGCGCGCGCGGCTCCCCCCTCCCCCCGTCATCACCTCCCCCTCTCCCGCCCCGCCCGACCCCTCCCGCCGTACCGGAGCGCACCGGGGAAGCACCGGGCAGCAGCAGCCGCGGGAGGAAGGAGGAAGGAGGAACGGACGCGGTGAGGGCGGTGAGGGCGGAGCGGCGGCGGCTGCCGGGGCGGGCGGGGAGAGTGAGGGGAGGGCGCGGGGGGGGGGGGGGAAGGAGAGCCTCGTTTTGGCACTGCGCATGCGCGCGGCGGGGCGCGAGCGGCGTTGGGGCTTTCCCGCCTTTTTCTGTGAGGGGAGTGGGGGGTTCTGCTGCTCTTTGGCTGTGCGGGAGCCGTCAGGGGCAGAGGGGGTCCCCTGTATTTCCGTGAGCGGTGGGGGGGTTTATTCCCTTTTTCCGTGAGCGGTGGAGGGGGTTTATTCCCTTTTTCCGTGAGCGGTGGAGTTTACCGCCCTTTTCCATGATGGGTGGAGGGGGTTTATTCCCTTTTTCCGTGAGCGGTGGAGTTTACCGCCCTTTTCCATGATGGGTGGAGGGGGTTTTCTCCATTTTTCCGTGAGCAGTGGAGGGGGTTTCTCCCTTTTTCCGTGAGCAGTGGAGGGGGTTTATTCCCTTTTCCCGGAAGCGGTGGAGGGGTTTTCTCCCTTTTTCCGTGAGCGGTGGAGTTTACCGCCCTTTTCCATCATGGGTGGAGGGGGTTTTCTCCCTTTTTCCGTGAGGGATGGAAGGGTTTCAGGTTTCCTCCCTCTTTCCATGAGGGGTGGAGGGGGTTTTCTCCCTTTTTCTGTCAGGAGTGCATGGGATTTTCTTCCCTTTTCCGTAACGATAGGGGGAGTTTCCTGCCTTTTTCCATGAGGGATGGAGGAGTTTCCTCCCTATTTCCATGAGGGGTGGAGGGATTTCCTCCCTATTTCCATGAGGGATGGAGGAGTTTCCTCCCTATTTCTATGAGGGGTGGAGGAGTTTCCTCCCTATTTCCATGAGGGATGGAGGGATTTCCTCCCTATTTCCATGAGGGATGGAGGAGTTTCCTCCCTGTTTCCATGAGGGGTGGAGGGGTTTCCTCCCTATTTTCGTGAGGGGTGGGGAGTTTCCCGCCTTTTTTCCGTGAGGGGAGGGGGAGTTTCCCGCCTTTTTTCCGTGAGGGATGGAGGAGTTTCCTCCCTTTTCCAATGAGGGGACGGGAAGTTTCTTCCCTTTTTCCGTGAGCAGAGGGGGTAAGAATTTTCCTGCCTTTTTCCTTTGGCTCAGGGCTGGCTCTCCCAGATTTTCCCCCCAGGCGAGGGAGGTTCGGGGTGCGCTGTGGGGTTTGGGCTCCATGTTGAGACACATTTTGGGCTCCTGAGCCCCCTCAGGATCTGCAGACATCCCCAACCAGGCTGTTGTCGCCACAGACCCACCGGAACCAATATTGCAATAATAAAAACCGTTTATTTCCCAATAGATTGCCCCCAAAAGCCTCCCGCAGGCTGAGGGACGGGGGGGAGGCGGGGAAAACACCCCAAAAACTGAGGCGGGCACCCCAAAACCCGTATGAGGGGCAAGGGCGCCTTTAAACCTGAGGGGGTCTCCCCGCGGGGAAACTGAGGCACGGGCGATTCAAGGCACTTGCGAAGGCGTTTGAGGGGGGACAGCTCCTGTGGGGCCCCAGACCCCCCCGGGGGGACCACGGCGTCGGGACCCCTCAATAATTTAAGGCTGGGGTCCCCCTGTGCGGGGGGAGGTCTCCGGTGGGGTTCTTGGGTTGTTCAGACACCGCCCGGCGCTTCTGGAGAGGGGACAAAGCGGGGGATTAGTTACACCCCACCCCGGGGACCCCCAAACCTTCTGGGGAGCCCCCCCAGGGCAGCACCCCCTTCCCAGTGCTCCCAGTACGCACCAGTGCTGGCGGCGCTGTGGCCCTGCCGCGTGGGGAGGGTGATGTAGGCGTCGTAGCCCAGGAGGACCCCGGCCAGGATCCCGAACACCTGGGGGGACAGGGGGGTCAGAGACCCTCAAATTCCCCCTGTGTGCCCCAAAATCTCCCTGCACCCCCAAAACCTCCCCTGCACCCCCAAATGCTCCCTCACCCTGGCCAGCCTCCTGAACACCTGGGGGGACAAGGTCAGAGACCCCCAAATTCCCCCTGTGTGCCCCAAAACCTCCCCTGCACCCCCAAAACCGCCCCGCACCCCAGCCAGGATCCCAAACCCCCTTGGGTGGGACAGGGTCAGAGACCCCCAGATTCACCCTGTGTGCCCCAAAACCTCCCTGTACCCCAGCCAGGATCCCGAACACCTGTGGGGAGAGGGGGCTCAGAGACCCCCAAATTCCCCCTGTGTGCCCCAAAACCTCCCCTGCACCCCCAAAAACTCCCCTGCACCCCCAAATCCTCCCTCACCCTGGCCAGGATCCCGAACACCTGGGGGGACAGGGGGGTCAGAGACCCCCAAATTCCCCCTGTGTGCCCCAAAACCTCCCCTGCACCCCCAAAACTGCCCCGCACCCTGGCCAGGATCCCAAACCCCCTTGGGTGGGACAGGGTCAGAGACCCCCAAATTCCTCCTGTGTGCCCCAAAACCTCCCTGCACCCCCAAATCCCCCCTGCAACCCCAAAACCCCTCCTTACACGGTGCCCAGGAGCCCCAAAACCCGGGGGGATCAGAGACCTCCAAATTCCCCCTGTACCCCCAAACCTCCCTCACCCAGCCTGGAGCCCCAAGACTGGGGGGATCAGAGACCCCCAAACCCTCTCCCGACCCCCTGGTCAGGAGCCCCAGCACCCATGGGGGGCTCAGCCCCCCAACCAGCCCCCCAGATTCCCCTCACCCCTCCCGCGATGCCGGCGCCGTCGCGGTGGTCGATGATGACGATGAGGGAGGTGATGAGGAAGAGCAGAGCCCCGATCAGGCAGCGCATGAAGTCCTGGGGGGGCACAGGTGGGACCCCTCAGAGAGACCCCCCAAACCTTCTGGGGACACCCCCCCAGGAACCCCCAGATTCTCTGGGGACCCCCAACTCCCAGGGATGTTCCGCAGCTCAGGCACTGCAGGGCCCCCCAGACCCCTCCACAGCCCCCCAGGGCTCCTCAAACCCCCCGTAATCCCCCCAAACCCCTCCCAGCCCCCCAATTCTCCTCAAACCCCCCGTAATCCCCCCAAAACCGTCCACAGCCCCCCAGGGCTCCTCAAACCCCTGGTAATCCACCCAAATGCCCCTGAGTTCTCCTCAAATCCCCAGTAATCCCTCCAAACCCCTCCCCAGCCCCCCTGTAATCCCCCCCAAACCCCTCCCCAGCCCCCCCAGTTCTCCTCAACCCCCTGCAATCCCCCCCAAACCCCCCCCAGCCCCCCAATTCTCCTCAAATCCCCCGGTAATCTCCCCCAAACCCCTTCCCAGCCCCCCAGTTCTCCTCAACCCCCTGCAATCCCCCCCAAACGCCCCCTAGACCCCCCATAATCCCCTCCAACCCTTCCCCAGCCCCCCAGTTCTCCTCAAACCCCCTGCAATCCCCCCCAAACGCCCCCCAGACCCCCTGTAATCCCCCCCAAACCCCCTGTAATCCCCCTCAAACCCCTCCCCAGCCCCCCAGTTCTCCTCAAACCCCCTGTAATCCCCCCCAAACGCCCCCCAGACCCCCTGCAATCCCCCCCAAACCCCCCCCAGACCCCCCGTAATCCCCCCCAACCCCTCCGCAGCCCCCGAGCCCCCGGCGCGGCGCTCACGCTCCAGCCCCAGGCCAGCGGGGCCAGCCGTGGCGGCAGGCGGCAGCTCCAGGCCAGCAGCACCAGCGCGGCGAAGAGCAGCTCCAGCGCCGCCAGCCCCGCGTAGCCCGAGCGCGACGCGCCGAAGCACACCAGGGCCAGCACGCACAGCACCTGCGGGGACGGGGACGGGGAGGTATGGCATCCATAGGGGCTGCTCAGAGCCCACAGGGACCCCTGAGACCCCAAAATGTGCCCCACCCCCATGGGATCTGTGCATTGTGCCCTATGGGCCCTGTGTGCTCCAGCCGGGCTCCCTGAGCTCCTATAGACCCCGTAGAGACCCCAAAGTGTGCCCCACCCCTATGGGATCTGTGCGTTGTGCCCTATGGGACCTGTGTGCTCCCTGGGTTATTTTTGAGCCCCCACAGAGACCCCAAAGTGTGCCCCACACCCATGGGATGTGTGCATTGTGCCCTATGGGCCGTGTGTGCTCCCTGAGCCCCCACAGAGACCCCAAAATGTGCCCCACCCCTATGGGATCTGTGCATTGTGCCCTATGGGCTGTGTGTGCTCCAGCCGGGCTCTCTGAGCCCCCAAAGAGACCCCAAAATGTGCCCCACCCCTATGGGATCTGTGCATTGTGCCCTATGGGCCCTGTGTGCTCCAGCCGGGCTCCCTGAGCCCCTATAGACCCCATAGAGACCCCAAAATGTACCCTGCCCTTATGGGCCCCCAATCGGCCATTGTGGGGTCACCTATAGACCCCCATAGCGCAGTGTGGGGTCACCTATAGACCCCCATAGCCCAGTGTGGGGTCACCTATAGACCCCCATAGCCCAGTGTGGGGTCACCTATAGACCCCCATAGCGCCCCAATGTGGGGTCACCTATAGACCCCCATAGCCCAATGTGGGGTCACCTATAGACCCCCATAGCCCAGTGTGAGGTCACCTATAGACCCCCATAGCCCAATGTGGGGTCACCTATAGACCCCCATAGCCCAGTGTGGGGTCACCTATAGACCCCCATAGCGCCCCCAATGTGGGGTCACCTATAGACCCCCATAGCGCCCCCAATGTGGGGTCCCCTATAGCCCCCCATAGCCCAATGTGGGGTCAACTATAGACCCCCATAGCGCCCCAATGTGGGGTCACCTATAGCCCCCCATAGCCCAGTGTGAGGTCACCTATAGACCCCCATAGCCCAGTGTGGGATCACCTATAGCCCCCCATAGCCCAATATGGGGTCACCTATAGCCCCCCATAGCCCAGTGTGGGGTCACCTATAGACCCCCATAGCCCAATGTGGGGTCACCTATAGCCCCCCATAGCGCCCCAATGTGGGGTCCCCATGGGTGCCCCATAGCGCCCCCTGCGGGCCGCCGCCGTTCCCGCGCTTTGGCCCCGCCCCGCGGGGGCGGCGGGCGCGGGCGCCGCTGTGGGAGCGGCGGGGCGGGGCCGTCTCCCGGCAACGGTCGTCATGGCAACGGCATAACAGCGCGCCCCCCTCCGCCCTTCAAGGGGCGACGGCGTGGGTGGGGCCCGCCGGGGGGGCTCTTAAAGGGGCAGCGCCTTAAAGGGGCCGCTCCCGGCGGCGCCGCCCGGGCTGGCGCAATAACGGCCGGAGCGGCGGGCCGGGCACCGCCCCAACCGCGCCTTCCCCCCGGGCGGGCACCGGGCACATCCGGGCTCCCTCCCCGCTTTCAAACCGGGCCCCTCCCGCCCCGCCTTTCTCACCTGCCCCGCCCCACCCCGCGTGTCCCAAGGGCGTTGCCCCTCCACGCGCCCGAAACGGGACCGGGAGGCGCGGGGGGAGCGGGTCCCGCGGTGTCCCACGGCACCAGGAACGCTCTGCGGGGATGTCCCCCCACCCGAGACCCGCGTCCCGAGCTCCACGTGTCGGCCGAGCGCTCCGACAGCCGGGCATCCCCCCCGGGATGGGGGACACCCCCGGGAGGGGGACACCCCCGGGATGGGGACCCCTACGGCATGGGGACCCCTACGGCATGGGGAACCCCCCCGGGATGGGGAACATCCCCGGGATGGGGGACCCCCCCCGGGATGGGGAACCCCCCCGGGATGGGGACCCCCCCGGGATGGGGAACCCCCCCGGGATGGGGACCCCCACGGAACGGGAGCCGGTGTGGCGGTGTCCCCGATCCCTTCCAAAACACGGAGCCAGGCGTTCTCCTGACGCCCAAAACCGGGATTCCGCCCTCCCCAAAAATAGGGGACCCCACGTGTGGGGGTGTCCCCCAAAAATGGGGAGCCAGGTGTCCTGCTGCCCCTCCCCCCCCAAAGCCGGTGATCCCAGACATCCTGCCCGGTCCCAAACCGGGACTCCCGCATCCTCCTGGCCCCGAATGGGCAGCCAGGCGTGTCCCCCCCCGCCCCAAAGGAACGGGGCACCGAGTCCTCCTGCCCCTGCGCACCGAGCCCGGGCCCGTGTGTGTCCCGGTGTGTCCCGGTGTGTCCCCGCCGGGGCTATCCCGCCCCCCGGTGCCCCCGGAGCCCCCATCCCCGGCGCCCCCCGTGTCTCACGATCTCGCCGATGAGCACCAGCCCCTTGTGGGTGCGGCTGAAGGCGAGGCAGTTGCCGGGGCAGTTCTGGGGCCCGCTGGACTCCATGACGGGACCGGGCGGTACCGAACGGGCGGTGGCGGTGGCGGCGGTGACGGGGGGGGGGAGGGGGGAGCGGGGGGGGCGCCCCGAGGAGCTGGCACGGCGCGGGGGCGGGGCCTGGCGGCGCGCGCCGGCACGCCATTGGCTGGCGCGGCGCGGGTGGGCGGGGCCTGGCGGCGGGGGAAACCCCAATTAGGGATGGAAAAGGGGGCGGGGCCTCGGGCGGCGCGCGCCATCACGTGACCGGGCAGTTAATGAAGGGGGGAAACCCCAGCGAGGGGTCCCGGGGGGGCGGGGCTTGGAGCGGGGAATCCCCTGCGCTGATTGGGTCGGGGGTCCTGGGGGCGGGGCTTGGAGCGGGGAATCCCCTGCGATGATTGGGTCGGGGGTCCTGGGGGCGGGGCTTGGAGGGGGTCCCGGGATTTGGGGGGGGTCCCGGGATTTGGGGGGTCTCTGAGGGGGTTGGGGGGGGTCCCGGGATTTGGGGGGTCTCTGAGGGGTTGGGGGGGGTCCCGGGATTTGGGGGGTCTCTGAGGGGGTTTGGGGGTCCCCTCGGCCGCTTCCCCCGGAGCCGCTCTGGGTTTTGGGCTGACTCAGCGGATGTGGGCAGCGCCCCGCGCACCGGCAGTGGAAGGAACGGGGATGGGGGGTCCCCACCTTTACTGAACACCCCAAAAACGGGGAGGGGGGGGGGCAACACCTCCGTGCGACCCCCGGGCGGGCGGGGCAGGGACCCCTCCCCCCATCCCCCTCCCCCAGCCAGGCGGGGGCTTGGGGGGCTCTGGGCTGTACCACTCGGTTTGGGGGGGCACCGGTGTGTTTTGGGGGGCCGTGGGCTGTACCACTGCGCTGGCAGGGGGGTGATTTTGCAGCCGTGTTTTGGGGGGGGTTTCTGGGGGGACCGGGGTGGGGGTCTCACCGTGGGGACGGCACAGTCAGGAACCAGTAACCCACCAGTGCTCCCACTGACCTCCCAGTGCTCCCAGTAACCAACCAGTGACCCCCCCAGTGCTCCCAGTGACTAACCAGTAACCTCCCAGTGCTCCCAGTGACCCCCTAGTGCTCCCAGTTACCAACCAGTGCTCCCAGTTACCAACCAGTGCTCCCAGTAACCAACCAGTGCTCCCAGTGCTTCCCATATCCTCTCCCAGTACCCCCCCAGCTCTCCCAGTGTCCTCCCACCCTCTCCCAGTGCTCCCAGTATCCCCTCCCAGTGCTCCCAGTCCAGCCCACACCATCCCAGTATGTACCCAGTCTCCCCTGGCACTCCCAGTATCACCTCCCAGTGCTCCCAGTCCCTCCCAGTCCATCCCAGTTCCCCCAGTTTGCCCCGGTCCCCCTCCCCCTCCCCGCGGGGTCGCTCCGGCAGCGCGCGCGAAACCGGCGGGCGCGAGCGGCGGCGGCAGCGGCTGAGCGACGGGCGGCTCCGCCAATCAGCGGCCGCAGCGCGCGGGAAGGGGGCGGGACGAGCCGCGCCGCCAGCACTGGATAGGCGGGCGTTCCGCCAATCAGCGTCCGCAAAGCCGGCGGGGCGGCGCGGAGGCTGCTGGGAATTGTAGTCCGGCTGAACCGTCGCGCTCTCTCCCACAGGGCCCCGCGGCGGAAGATGGCGGCGGGCGATGGCGCGGCGGAGGAGCCGGGAACGGGGACGGGGACGGCGCCGGCGCCGGGCCCGGTGTCCTTCGCCTTCAGCCGCAGGGCCGAGCGGCGGCGGCCGCTGCCCGCGGGACCGTGCGCGGAGCCCGGCGCGGGCGGAGACAGCGAGAGCGACACCGACTTCCTGACGGCCGTGGAGGGCCGCGAGCTGCTCAGGTGGGCGGGGCTTAGCGCCGGTGCCGGCGGGGGCGAGGGGGCGTGGCCTGTGGCACGTGCTCACCGCGTGCAACGGCTTGGGGGCGTGGCTAAGACGAGGGGGCGTGGTTTGTTCCGGGACCGCCCCTTTGTTTAAAGGCGCTCGCGGTGTGAGTGGGCGTGGCTAACTCCGTGTCCCCGCCCCCAGCACGCGGCCGGCCCCGCCCCCCAAGCCGGAGCTGGTGATCCCGCTGATCCCCGCGCGCCGCTGGAGGAACCCCGAGACCCCCGCGCAGGGGACGGGCACCGCCCACCGGACAGACCCCGCCCACAAAACAGGCCCCGCCCACGGAACGGGCACCGCCCACGGAACGGGAACAGCCCACGGGACAGGCCCCGCCCACGGAACGGGACCCGCCCACGGGACAGGCACCGACCCCGGGACAGGCACCGCCCCCGGGACAGGCACCGCCCACGGAACGGGACCCGCCCACGGGACGGGCACCGCCCCCGGCACGGGCACCGCCCACGGAACAGACCACGCCCCCAGCGCTGACCCCGCCCCCAGCACAGGCCCCGCCCATGGAAGAAGCCCCGCCCCCAGCACAGGCCCCGCCCCTAGCGCTGACCCAGCCCCTAGCGCTGACCCCGCCCATGGAACAAGCCCCGCCCCCAGCGCTGACCCCGCCCCCAGCACTGGCCCCGCCCCCAGCGCTGGCCCCGCCCCCAGCGCGGACCCCCCCTCGGTGGAGGCTCAGGCGGTGCAGGAGCTGCTGCAGGGTGAGTTTGGGGGTCCCGGGGGGGTTTTGGGGGTTCCCCTGACCCCCAGAGGGGTTCCAGGGGGGTTTTGGGGTCCCCCTGACCTCCCCTGCCCCCCCAGAGGCGCGGCAGAGCCAGGAGCCCCCCCCGGGCCAGCCCGGCCCCACCATGGCCATCCCCCTGCAGGGGCTCCGGGACCGGGACGTGGGCACGGGGCAGCAGCCGGTGAGAGACCCCCGGGACCCCCAAAGAGCCCCGGGAACCCCCTCTGGGACCCCCAAATAGCCCCGGGAACCCCCTCTGGGACCCCCAAATAGCCCCGGGAACCCCCTCTGGGACCCCCAAATATCCCCCGAGACCCCCAAATATCCCCCCAAACTCCAAATATCCCCCGGGACCGCCAAATATCCTCTAGGACCCCCAAATATCCCCCGGGACCCCCAAATATTCCTGGGACCCCCAAATAGCCCCGGGAACCCCCTCTAGGACCCCCAAATATCCCCCAAGACCCCAAATATCCTCTGGGACCGCCAAACATCCCCTGGGAACCCCAAATATCCCCCCAAACCCCAAATATTCACTGGGACCCTCAAATATCCCCCGGGACCCCCAAATATCTTCTGGGACCCCCAAATATCCCCCCAAATATCCCCCCATACTCCAAATATCCCCTGGGACCCCCAAATACCCCCAGGGACCCCCAAATATTCACTGGGGCCCCCAAATATCTGCCAGGACCCCCGAATGTCCCTGGGAACCCCAGACATCCCCAGGACCCCCAAATATTCCCAGGACCCCCAAATATCCTCTGAGTCCCCCCTAGGGACCCCCAAATCCCCCCTGGGACCCCCAAATCCCCCTGTGAACCCCCTGGGGACCCCCAAATCCCTCTATGTACCCCCTGGGGACCCCCAAATCCCTCTGTGAACCCCCTAGGGATCCCCAAATCCCCCCTGGGGACCCCCAAATTCCCCTGGGGACCCCCAAAATCCCTCACCCCTGCCCGCAGACCCCCCAGGACTACGAGGCCGTGCCCGTGGGGCAGTTCGGGCTGGCCATGCTGCGGGGGATGGGCTGGAGCCAGGGCCAGGGCATCGGCCGCACCTTCGCCAGGTGAGGGGGCACCGAAACCGGGCACCCCAAAAGCAGGGGCACCCCAAAACCGGGCACCCCAAAACCGGGGCACCCCAAAAGCAGGGGTACCCCGAAACTGAGGGTACCCCAGAACCGGGGTACCCCAATACCGGGCACCCCAAAAGCAGGGGTTTCTGAGCCCGTCCCTGTCCCCCCAGGGTGGTGCCCCCCCTGGAGCAGCGGCCCCGCCCGCGGGGGTTGGGGCTGGGGGCCGAGGCCGCCCCCCCCGGGGCCGGGGAGCCCCCCCAGGCCGGGCTGGGCGTGGGTGACACCGTCAGCATCGAGGCCGGGCCCCACCGCGGCCTGCGCGGCCAGGTGAGAGCGCGGGGCCCTACGGGGCCGTAGGGACCGGGGCGGGGCTGTACGGACCAGTATGGGGCAGGGCGGGGCTGTACGGACCGGTATGGACCGGGGCGGGGCCGTATGGACCGGGGCGGGGCTGTACGGACCGGTATGGACTGGGGCGGGGCCGTATGGACCAGTATGGACGGGTACGGGGCGGGGCGGGGCTGTATGGACCCATATGGACCGGGGCGGGGCCATATGGACTGGGGCAGGGCGGGGCCGTACGGACCAGTATGGACCGGGGCGGGGCTGTACAGACCGGTATGGACTAGGGCGGGGCCGTACGGACTGGTACGGGGCAGGGCGGGGCTGTACAGACCAGTATGGACCAGGGCGGGGCCATATGGACCGGTATGGACGGGTACGGGGCAGGGCGGGGCCGTACAGACCGGTATGGACCAGGGCGGGGCCGTATGGACCGGGTGGGGCAGTGTTTGGTGGTATAGACCAGTATAGACCAGTACGGAGTGCTGCGGGGTGGTGTGGGGCAGTATGGGGCAGTATGGACCAGTGTGGGGTGGTATAGACCAGTATTGACCAGTATTGGGTGGTACGGGGCAGTATTGGGCTGTACGGACCAGTATAGACCAGTACAGACCAGTGCGGGGCAATGTGGGGCAATATGGAGCAGTGTGGGGCAGTATAGACCGATACAGACCAGTATAGACCAGTCCTAACTGGTCTGTAATTGCTGTAACTGGTCTGTAACTGGTTTAACTGGTGCAGGTGCAGGCGCTGCTGTAACTGGTGTAACTGGTCTCTAACTGGTCTCTAACTGGTGTAACTGGTTTAACTGGTGCAGGTGCAGGCGCTGCTGCCTGAGGCCGGCCGGGCGCTGGTGTAACTGGTCTGTTACTGGTGTAACTGGTCTCTAACTGGTTTAACTGGTCTGTAACTGGTGCAGGTGCAGGCGCTGCTGCCCGAGGCCGGCCGGGCGCTGGTGTAACTGGTCTGTAACTGGTTTAACTGGTGTAACTGGTCTCTAACTGGTCTCTAACTGGTCTGTAACTGGTTTAACTGGTGCAGGTGCAGGCGCTGCTGCCCGAGGCCGGCCGGGCGCTGCTGTAACTGGTCTGTAACTGGTGTAACTGGTCTGTAACTGGTCTGTAACTGGTGTAACTGGTGTAACTGGTCTCTAACTGGTGTAACTGGTCTGTAACTGGTTTAACTGGTCTGTTACTGGTGCAGGTGCAGGCGCTGCTGCCCGAGGCCGGCCGGGCGCTGGTGCGGCTCCAGCTCGGGGCGCAGGTGGTGACTGTCAGTCAGCACGGACTGCGCCCGCTCGGCCACGGTGAGTCCAGTACGGACCAGTACGGACCAGTAACCAACCCCCTGTGACCCCCGGTAACCCCCCAGTAACCCCTGAGCGACGGTGAATCCCAGTACGGACCAGTAACCACCCCCTGTGACCCCTGTGACCCCTGAGACATCCCCAGTGACCCCAGTGACCCCTGAGTGCTGGTGAGTCCAGTACGGACCAGTACGGACCAGTAACCACCCCCTGGGACCCCCAGTAACCCCCAGTAACCCCTGAGCGCTGGTGAGTCCAGTATGGACCAGTACAGACCAGTAACCACCCCCTGTGACCCCCTGTGACCCCCGAGACAGCCCCAGTAACCCCTGAGCACTGGTGAGTCCAGTATGGACCAGTATGGACCAGTATGGACCAGTAACCACCCCCTGTGACCCCTGAGACAGCCCCAGTAACTCCAGTAACCCCTGAGCACTGGTGAGTCCAGTACAGACCAGTACGGACCAGTAACCAACCCCTGTGACCCCCAGTAACCCCCCAGTAACCCCTGAGCGACAGTGAATCCCAGTACAGACCAGTATGGACCAGTAACGCCCCCCCAATAACCCCCAGTAACCCCCAGTAACCCCTGAGACACCCCCAGTAACCCCCAGTAACCAACCCCCAGTAACCCCCAGTAACCCCTGAGCAACGGTGAATCCCAGTACGGACCAGTATGGACCAGTAACCCCCCCAATAACCCCCAGTAACCCCCAGTAACCAACCCCCAGTAACTCCCAGTAACCCCTGAGACAGCCCCAGTAACCCCCAGTAACCTCTGAGCGCTGGTGAGTCCAGTACAGACCAGTATGGACCAGTAACCAACCCCAGTAACCCCTGAGACAGCCCCAGTAACCCCAGAACCCCTGAGCACCGGTGAGTCCCAGTATGGACCAGTAACCCCCAGTAACCAACCCCCAGTAACCCCCAGTGACCTCCCAGTGCTCCCAGTAAGCCTTGAGCGCCGGTGAGTCCCAGTACCACCGGTAACCCCAGTAACCAACCCCCAGTCCCTCCCAGTTCCCCCCAGTCCCTCCCAGTCCCCCCAGTCCCCCCCAGTCCCCCCCAGTCCCTCCCAGTCCCCCCCAGTCATTCCCAGTTCCCCCCAATCCCCTCCCAGTCCAACCCAGTCCCTCCCAGTCTCTCCCAGTCCATCCCAGTCACTCCCAGTTCCCCCCAGGTGCCCCGGGCCGCCCCCCCCCGCCGGGCTCTGGGGGGGGGGGCACAGGGTGGGGACCCCCCACGGGGGGGGGGCAAACGCCGGGAGCCCCCCCCGGAGCAGAGGTGAGGGGGGGTTTGGGGGGGCATTTTGGGGGGGTCAGTTTTGGGGGGCTGGGGGAGTGTTTATTTTTGGGGGTTTCAGGGGAGTTCTTATTTTGGGGGTCTCTCAGTGTGGGGGGGCTGCAGGGGTCGTTTTGGGGGGGGCTCTCATTTTGGGGGGGCTCTCATTTTGGGGGGGGCTCAGTTTTGTGTGATTTTGGGGGAGCTGAAAAGGTCATTTTTGGGGGGTTTCACTTTTGGGGGTTTGGGGGGGTTCTCATTTTTGGGGGGCTTGGGGGGGGCTGTCATTTTTGGGGGTTGGGGGAGTTCTCATTTTTGGGGGCTCATTTTGGGGGGCTTCGAGGGGCGCTCTCATTTTGGGGGGCTTTGGGCTCATTTTGGGGGGTTCTCGATTTGGGGGGTTGGGGGCTCATTTTGGGGGACTTCCGGGGGGTTCATTTTTGGGGGGGCTGAGGGGGTCATTTTGGGGGGATTCTCATTTTGGGGGGGGTTTGGGGGGTTCATTTTTGGGGGGTTTGGGGGGTGTTCTCATTTTGGGGGGGCTCATTTTGGGGGGGTTCGAGGGGGGCTCTCTTTTGGGGGGGTTTCTGGGGGTCCTTACATATTGGGGGGGGGGCTCTAATTTTGGGGGTGTCATTAACCCTTGAGGGGAGGGAGCCCTTTGGGGGGATGTGACCCCCCCTGCCCAATTGAGGGGGGGGGGCCTGAGCCCCCCAATATTTTTGGGGTGGGGGGGGTCTGTGATCGATTTGGGGGGTTCCCATGGGGGGGTCTGTGATCGATTTGGGGGAGGGGTCCCACGGGGGGGTCTGGGGGGGCTCCAGGGCTCCGGGGGTTGCTGAGTTTTGGGGACTGGGGGGGTTCCCAACAATTTGGGGACCCCCCCAGGAGCGCGAAGCAGCCCCGGGGGGCCCCCCCCGCGCCCCCCCCCCACTGGCTGCGGCGGGACCTGCGCGTGCGCTGCGTGGACACGGCCTTCAGAGGGGGGGTCTTCTACAACTGCAAGGTGGGACCCCCGAGCTGCACCCCAAAATACCCACTGACCCCCACACTGCACCCCAAAATACCCACTGAGCCCCAAACCGCACCCCAAAATACCCACTGACCCCCGAACTGCACCCCAAAATACCCACTGAGCCCCCTGGGACCCAGAAATACCCATTGACCCCCGAACTGCACCCCAAAATACCCACTGAGCCCCCCGGCACCCCAAAATACCCACTGACCACCCTGGGACCCTGAAATACCCACTGAGCACCCCCGCCACCCCCGGGTGTGATTTTGGGGTTCCCCCGGGTGGATTTTGGGGTTCCCCCCCATTCCTGGGCATGATTTGGGGTTCCCCCGGGTGAATTTTGGGGTCTCATCACTGGGTGCGATTTTGGGGCTCCCCCGGGTTTGATTTTGGGGATCCCCCCCTGTCCCCGGGTGCGATTTTGGGGTTCCCCCCTGGTGTAATTTTGGGGCTCCCTCGGGTGTGATTTTGGGGTCCCCCCCATCGCCGGGTGGATTTTGGGTTCCCCCGGGTGGATTTTGGGGTTCCCCCCCATCCCTGGGTATGATTTTGGGGTTCCCCCGGGTGTGATTTTGGGGCCCATCCCCGGCTGGATTTGGGGCTCCCTCGGGTGAATTTTGGGGCTCCCCCGGGTGTGATTTTGGGGTCCCCCCCATCCCTGGGCATGATTTGGGGATCCCCCGGGTGAATTTTGGGGTCCCCCCAGATGACGATCGAGGACCTGCTGGCCCCCGACACCTGCGTGTGCCGCACGGACGACGGGCGCCTGGTGGAGGGTGAGACCCCCCCCCCCAAATCTGGGGGGTCCCCAAAACTCCTTTGACCCCCCAAAACTCCTCTGAGCCCCCAAAACTTTTCTGAGCCCCCAAAACCCCCCCTGAGCCTCCCGCTGTGCCCCCCCAATCCCCCCTGAGCCCCCCCCCGAGCCCCCCAAATCCCCCCTGAGCCCCCCAAATCCCCCTGAGCCCCCCAAAATCCCCCCAAATTCCCCCCTGAGCCCCCCCCCGAGCCCCCCAAATCCCCCCTGAGCCCCCCAAATTCCCCCAAATCCCCCCTGAGCCCCCCTCTGTGCCCCCCAAACCCCCCTGAGCCCCCCAAAATCCCCCCTGAGCCCCCCCCCGAGCCTCCCAAATCCCCCCTGACCCCCCCTGACCCCCCAAAATCCCCCCTGACCCCCCAAAATTTCCCCCTGAGCCCCCCGCTGCCCCCAGGGCTGCGCGAGGCCTCTCTGGAGACGGTTGTGCCGCGGGACAGCTCCGAGCGCGTCATGGTGGTGCTGGGGGAGCACGCGGGGCAGGTCAGACCCCTCCCCAAATTACCCTAAATACCCACAGACCCCTGCCAAAATTACCCAAAATACCCAATCCCCTCCCCAAATTACCAGAGTACCCCTGGACCTCTCCCCAAATTACCCAAATTACCCAAACCCCTCCCCAAATTACCCAAATTACCCAAATTACCTACAGACCCCTCCCCAAATTACCACAGACCCCTCCCCAAATTATCTGAATTACCCCTGGACCTCTCCCCAAATTACCCAAAATACCCACAGACCCCTCCCCAAATTACCCCAGACCCCTCCTCAAATACCTGAATTACCACGGACTCCTCCCCAAATTATCCTCACACCCCTCCCCAAGTTACCGACAGACCCCTCTCCAAATTATCCCCGGACCCCTCCCCAAATTACCCCAATATCCCTCCTTAAATTATCCCCAAACCCCAAACCCCAAACCCAAACCCCAAACCCAAACCCCAAACCCCCAAACCCCACACCCAAACCCAAACCCCAAACCCCCAAACCCAAACCCCAAACCCAAACCCCAAACCCAAACCCCAACCCCAAACCCAAACCCCAAACCCAAACCCCAAACCCCAATCCCCAAACCCCAATCCCCAAACCCAAACCCAAACCCCAAACCCAAACCTAAACCCCAAACCCCAAACCCCAAACCCAAACCCCAAATCCCCAAACCCCAAACCCCAAACCCAAACCCCAAACCCCAAACCCCAAACCCAAACCCCAAATCCCCAAACCCCAAACCCCAAACCCAAACCCCAAACCCCAAACCCCAAACCCCAAATACCCCAAACCCCAAACCCAAACCCCAAACCCCAAACCCAAACCCCAAATCCCCGCTCCCGCCCCGCAGCTGGGCCGGATCCTGGAGCGGGACGGGCGCCGGGCCCGGGCGCTGGTGCAGCTGTGCCGGGCGGGCGCTGCGGTGCTGCCGCTGCCCTTCGACTGCATCTGCCACTACCTGGGGGGGGACGAGGACTGAGACCCCCACGGACCCCCACGGACCCCCACGGACCCACCCACGGGCGGGCACGGACGGCACGGATGGCACGGATGGCATGGATGGCACGGCACAGCATGGCACGGCACGGCATGGATGGCACGGCACAGCGGGTGACAGGGGAGGGAGATGGGAATCAGTGGAGAGAGACGAGAAACAATGGAGAGAAATGGGAAATAACGGAGAGAAACTGCAACTGAGGAGTGAAATGGGCAACAACGGAGAGAAATGGGCAATAAAGGAGAGAAACGGGAAATAACGGAGAGAAACGGGAAATAACAGAGAGAAACGGGAAACGATGGAGAGAGACGGGAAATGATGAAGAGAGACGGGAGACAGCGGAGAGAGACAGGAGACAATGGCGTTATGTGGGCAACAACGGGTGTGACGCGGGCAATAAAAGAGAGAAACGGGCAACCAAGGAGTGAAATGGGCAACAATGGAGAAAAACGGGCAACAGTGGAGAGAAACGGCAACCGCAGTGTGAGACGGGCAACAAAGGACAGAAATGGGAAACAATGGCGTGCAACGGGCAAAAACGGGCGTGAAATCGGCAATAAAGGTGTGAAATGGGCAATAAAGGCGAGAAACGGGCAACAACGGGTGTGAGATGGGCAATAAAGGAGAGAAACGGGCAATAAAGGAGAGAAATGGGCAAACGGGAAACAATGGCGTGAAATGGGCAATAAAGGAGAGAAACGGGCAATAAAGGCGTGAACCGAGCGGCGGCTCCCTCGGCCGTCGCTGGAAGAGGGGACCCTCCCCCTCGGGGACTTCGGGGTCCCCCAAAACTCCCCAAATCCCCCCAAACCGCCCCAAACCCCCGCGCCGGCCCCAGGCGCTCTGCCCGCTTCCAACATGGCGGCCGCTGGTTGCTATGGCAGCACGGCACGCCGCTGCCAGTTTCCAACATGGCGCGTCGCCGGGCAACGGCCCCGCCCTCCCGTCTCCGCCAATCAGCGCGCGCGGCCGCCCGGAGCGAGCCGTGATAGGGCGCGGCGCGGCTCACGTGACCGGAAGTCCGCTCTGGCCGGGCGTCTCGGTGGTCGGGGCGGCCGCGGCGCTCTGAGGCGACTTTTGGGGCTTTTGGGGTTTTTGGGGGTCCCGGGGGGTTTTGGGGACCCTCCGCTCCCCCCTTCGGCTCCCCCCGAAGCGGCGCCGCCGCCGCGGGCCCGCCCCGCCATGGCGCAGGCCCGGGGGGTGAACAGCGTGCGCTTCAACCAGGACCAGAGTGAGTGGGGGGCCGGACCCCCAACCCGAAACCCCGAACCCCCGAACCCCAAAATCCCGAAACCCCGAACCCTCAAACTCCGAACCCCCAAACCCGGAAACCCCGAACCCCAAAACCCCGAAACCCCGAACCCTCAAACTCCGAACCCCCAAACCCGAAACCCCGAACCCTCAAACTCCGAACCCCAAAACCCCAAACCTCCGAATCCCCGGACCCCCGAACCCCCAAAATCCCAAACCCTCAAATCCCCAAACCCCGAACCCCCAAAATCCCAAACCCTTAAATCCCCAAACCCCCAAAACCCCAACCCCGACCCCCCAAACTCCAAACCTCCCTCGGCACCTCCAGCGCCCCCCCGGGGACCCCCAAAAACCCCCGGGGACCCCCAAACCGCTGCGGTGCCCCCCGTGACACCCCCAAAACCCCTCAGCCCCTCCTGAAACGCCCCCCGGGGACCCCCAAACTCCCCTGAACCCACCCAGGGACCCCAAAACCCACCCAGGGACCCCCAAACCCCCCCCAAATCCCCCCAGGCTGTTTCTGTGTGGCGATGGACTCGGGGGTTCGGATCTTCAACGTGGAACCGCTGATGGAGAAAGGGCACCTGGGTGAGGGGGGGGGGGTACCTGGGGGGCACCTGGGGGCACCTGGTGAGGGTGGGGATACCTGGGGGGCACCTGGGGGGCACCTGGGTGAGGGGGGGGGCATGGGGGGCACCTGGGGGGCACCTGGGTGAGGGGGGGGCATGGGGGGCACCTGGGGGGCACGTGGGGGGCACCTGGGGGGCACCTGGGGGAGGGGTGGGGGGCGTGGGGGGGCACCTGGGGGGCACAGGGGGTACCTGGGGGGCACCTGAGTGAGGGGTGGGGGGCACCTGGGGGGCACGGGGAGCACCTGAGTGAGGGGTGGGGGTACCTGGGTGAGGGGTGGGGGCACGGGGGGCACCTATGGGGCACCTGGGGGCACCTGGGAGGAACGGGGACACGGGGGGGCATGGGGGACACCTGGGGGGTTTTGGGGTTCCCCAGGGGAATTTGGGGGGGTTTGGGGTTTGGGGGTTCCCCGGGGGGGTTTGGGGGGCTTGGGGTTCCCCAGGGGGGGTTTTGGGGTTCCCCGGGGGGGTTTGGGGTTCCCCGGGAGTTTGGGGTTCCCCAGGGGGGTTTGGGGGGCTTGGGGTTCCCCGGGGGGGGTTTTGGGGTTCCCCGGGGGGGGTTTTGGGGTTCCCCGGGGGGTTTTGGGGTTCCCCGGGAGGGGTTTGGGGTCTCTAGGGACACAGAAGGGCCCCGGGCAGGAATTTTGGGGTCCCCCATGGCTGCGAGGGGGGTGCGGCGTTTTTGGGGGGTTCCTCAGCCGGGGGGTGTGTGGGGGTGTCTGGGGGTGGTTTTTGGGGGGGTCCCTAAATTGAGGAGGGAGTTTTGGGGTGCGCCAGGCTGGGGGGGGTGGTGCTCAGGTTTGGGGGGGTCTCCCAGCTGGGGGGGGGGCCCCAAATTTGTGCTGCCCCCCCCGCCCCCGCCGGGCTGGGAGGGTCCCCGGGGCGGGTGCGTCCCTCGGTTTTGGGGGGGCCGCTGTGGTTTGGGGGTGCCGCCGGGGTTTGGGGGTGCCCCCCCCACCTCGGGGGGGTCCCCCCTGATTTGGGGGTGCCCCAGACGCGGAGCAGGTGGGCAGCGTGGGGCTGGTGGAGATGCTGCACCGCTCCAACCTGCTGGCCATCGTGGGCGGCGGCAGTCACCCCAAGTTCCCCGACGCCTCAGGTGCGCCCCAAAACGGGGGGACCCCGAAACTGGGGGGCAAATCCACTGGGGGGGTCCCCAAACCGGGGGGACCCCAAAACCGGGGGCCAAATCCACAGGGTGGGTCCCCAAACCGGGGGGACCCCAAAATCGGGGCGCCAAATCCACAGGGTGGGTCCCCAAACCGGGGGGACCCCAAAACCAGGGAGACTTCAAAATCGGGGGGCAAATTCACTGGGGGGTCCCCAAATGCCCTGGGGGTTCCCAAAACCGGGGGGACCCCAAAACCGGGGAGACTTCAAAATCGGGGGCCAAATTCACTGGGGGTCCCCAAATTCCCTGGGGGTCCCCCAAAACCAGGGGGGACTCAATTCCCTTGGAGATCTTCCAAAACCGGGGGTCCCCAGTGCCGGTGTCCCTATCCCCGGTTTTGGGGTGTCCCCGGTTTTGGGGTGTCCCCAAGCTGCTGTCTGTCCCCAATTTCGGGGTGTCCCCAATTTCGGGGTGTCCCTAATTCCGGGGTGTCCCCAATTTTTGGGTGCCCCACGCACTGTCTGTCCCCAGTTTCGGGGTGTCCCAGTTCTGGGGTCCCCTGCGTGCTCCTTGTCCCCAGTTCCAGGCTGTCCCGCTTTTGGGGTATCCCCAATTTCGGGGTTCCCCACGCGCTGTCTGTCCCCAGTTTCGGGGTCCCCCGTGCGCTCCTTGTCCCTAGTTCCAGCCTGTCCCGCTTTTGGGGTATCCCCAGTTTTGGGGTGCCCCACGCGTTGTCTGTCCCCATTTTGGGGTGTCCCCGTTATCGGGGTGTCCCAAATATCGGGGTGCCCCCAATTCCAGGGTGTCCCCAATTTCGGGGTGTCCCCAGTCCTGGGGTATCCCCAGTTCCGGGGTATCCCCAGTTTTGGGGTGCCCCATTTCAGTGTCCCAATTTCGGGGTGCCCCACTTCGGGGTGTCTCCAATTCTGGGGTGCCCCAGTTTCGGGGTGTCCCATTTCGGGGTGCCCCAGTTCCGGGGTGTCCCTGGTTTTGGGGTATCCCCAATTTCGGGATGCCCCAGTTTCGGGGTAACCCCAATTCCGGGGTATCCCCGGTTTCAGGGTGCCCGGTTCCGGGGTGTCCCCAATTTTGGGGCGCCCCAGTTTTGGGGTGCCCGGTTTTGGGGTATCCCCAATTCCGGGGTGCCCCAATTTTGGGGTGTCCTGGTTTCAGGGTATCCCCAATTCCGGGGTGTCCCAGTTTTGGGGTGTCCCAGTTCGGGGTGCCTGGTTTCGGGGTGTCCCTGGTTTTGGGGTATCCCCAATTTCGGGGCGCCCCATTTCGGGTTATTCCCAGTTCCAGGGTGCCCCAATTCCGGGGTGCCCAGTTTTGGGGTATCCCCAATTCCGGGGTATCCCCGGTTTCAGGGTGCCCGGTTCCGGGGTGTCCCCAATTTTGGGGCGCCCCAGTTTTGGGGTGCCCGGTTTTGGGGTATCCCCAATTCCGGGGTGCCCCAATTTTGGGGTGTCCTGGTTTCGGGGTATCCCCAATTTCGGGGCGCCCCATTTCGGGGTATCCCCAATTTCGGGGTGCCCGATTTCGGGGTGCCCAGTTTGGGGTGTCCCCAGTTTCGGGGTATCCCCAGTTTTGGGGTGCCCATACGCCGTCCCTCTGCAGTGCTGATCTGGGACGACGCCCGCGAGGGGAAGGACAAACTGGTGCTGGAGTTCAGCTTCCCCCGGCCCGTGCTGGCCGTGCGCATGCGGCACGACCGGTACAGCTGGGATAGACTGGGATAAACTGGGATAAACTGGGATAAACTGGGATAAACTGGGATAAACTGGGATAAACTGGGATAAACTGGGATAAACTGGGATAAACTGGAACAAACTGGTGCTGGAGTTCAGCTTCCCCCGGCCCGTGCTGGCCGTGCGCATGCGGCACGACCGGTACAGCTGGGATAGACTGGGATAAACTGGGATAAACTGGGATAAACTGGGATAAACTGGGATAAACTGGGATAAACTGGGATAAACTGGAACAAACTGGTGCTGGAGTTCAGCTTCCCCCGGCCCGTGCTGGCCGTGCGCATGCGGCACGACCGGTACAGCTGGGATAAACTGGGATAAACTGGGGTAAACTGGGACAGCTGGGATAACTGGGACAGCTGGGATAACTGGGATAAACTGGGATAAACTGGGACAGACTGGGATAGACTGGGACAGACTGGGATAACTGGGATAACTGGGACAAACTGGGATAAACTGGGATAAACTGGGATAGACTGGGATAGACTGGGATAAACTGGGATAAACTGGGACAGCTGGGATAACTGGGACAGCTGGGATAACTGGGATAAACTGGGATAAACTGGGACAGACTGGGATAGACTGGGACAAACTGGTGCTGGAGTTCAGCTTCCCCCGGCCCGTGCTGGCCGTGCGCATGCGGCACGACCGGTACGGCAACGGGGATAAACTGGGATAAACTGGGATAAACTGGGATAAACTGGGATAAACTGGGATAACTGGGATAAACTGGGATAAACTGGGAGAACTGGGACAAACTGGGACAGCTGGGAAACTGGGATAAACTGGGATAAACTGGGACAAACTGGGATAAACTGGGATAAACTGGGAGAACTGGGATAACTGGGACAGCTG